CTCCCCCCCGCCTGGCACCCTGTCTCCAGTGTCCCTAACTACTTTCAAGGCTTTTATGTCCTCCAGTTTTTCGGTCTCTACCATAGAGTGCGGACAGTCAGTATATGTTAAGTTTGGCATACGATGCCTCTCTTTCATAGCCTGACTCGCTTCACTCAGCAATACATCTTCCAAATTCAACCACTTTCTATCAAATGCCCCTTGATTGAATTCTAAACATTATATAAAAATACTGATTTCATTTCCACCTGCTGTAGTGCCCTTCTACAGGGGAATTTGCATTACCGGGCTCATGATAAAACTTCCTTGGGGTCCAGCCATGGTAGTGCAAGCTGGCAGATGCCACCACTTGGCAGGCTGAAGCCACATGGGAGGCCTGGATCTGATTCCCAGCCCACCCTAAGAGCCAGGGCACAGTGGTACGTGCCTGTAGTCCCATCTACTCAGGAGACTAAGGCAGGAGGAATGCGATATAGTAAGACCCTTTCTGGGGGGGAAGAAAAGAACAATTCCTGGGGCTAGGTCCGCCTGAAACGATGCCATGTATTACCTTCCGCAGAGGTCCATGCTGTTTTCTGTACTTCTTATTCCAAGATACTCCTATCTTTTTCAAGAGTTTTTGGCCCAGCTGATCAACAGAAATTAGATTATTCTCCTCCTTATGAAAGAAACACAAAGTCATTTTAAAAAAATATGATGAGAAACAATTGTAACACTTACAAATTGTAAGGAATTAATAGGGTCGCATATAATTAAACATGTCTAGAACAGCAAACAGTGCTGGCCCTGGGTGCAGTGAGGTGCTATATATTGGGAGCTGGATCCTATATGGCTGGTCCAGTGGCTAAAAACCATGCCGGGAATATGTGTGTGCATCTGCAAATCCTGAGCAGGTGGAGAAATGCAGAAAGGAGACTGTGGTATGGTCACGTCTCTTCCTCCCCTTCCCTCTCTCTAGCAGGCAAGTGCACGCATCCTCCAGCAATAAAAAACAAACAAAAAAATAGAACAGCAAACATGCATATTTATTAATAATTACTTCATTATAAAAAGTTTCTAAGAAGTAAAAAGTAGATTTAAAAATACAGATTTTGAGGCCAATAGGTGGCATGGCGGGTAAGGGCGCTGGACTCCCACATGGCTGACTGCAGCTCGAGACCCGGACCTGGCAGCTTGCTTTCTCACTTTCCCTTTCTCTCTTGCTCTGTCCCTCTCTGGTCAAAATTAAAATAAATAAATAAAGTTAAATAATTCTTTTTTTTTTGAGAGGTTTTTGCTATAGGGCGTGTGCACTCACCAGACAGAGAGAGACAGGGAGACAGAAAGCGAGAAATCACCCCCCAAGGGGGATGGTCACGCCGCAATCCCTTCTCCTCCATTCTCCTCTCGGGATCTTGGGCATGCATGCACATGCGCCCGGCGTGAGTTTTAAGCCACCGGGTCCGGGACGCGAACCGCAGTCGACTACGTGGGAGTCCAGCGACATAGCCGTTATGCTAAGTGCTGGTTCCCAATAAAGTTAAATAATTCTTTTAAAAATAAACAAAAGTTAAAAAAAATATGGATTTTCATCACTTCCCATGTACCATAGTTTAGCCGCTTAAAAAGCAATATCCAAAGAGTCTCTTGAGGTTTAATAAATTCCTATTATCAGATGGGATTTTTAGAAGAAGGATCTAAGTGTTTAAGAAAAGACGGTTACTGTCTTACCAGAATGTTTCAAAGTACAAACAAGTTCTAAAAGGGCATAAGATGTGGCTGCTCTAGGCTACACTGTGTAGCCCCGAAATTCAGATGTTGACCTCTTAACCCCTAGAACTAGAGACTGAGTGGAAGGTGACTCAGTTAAAAGGAGGCTGTTTTCCAGTTTAGGGGATGGGAACACCAATCTGACAGGCGTCCTCTCAGGAAGAGACAATCTGGACACACAGGTACCAGGGATGCATAGGTACAAAGGGAAGGCTGTGTGAGGACACAAGCCAAGGAAGGGGCTCAGAAGAAACCACCCCTGCTGACACGTTAATCTTGGATTGTCTGAAAATAAATGTCTGTTGTTTAAGCCACCCAGTCTGTGGTATTGGGGTATAGGCCCTAGAAGATAATGATAAAGATAATATAGTTAAAGCTCTCAGCTCAGGTCCCTTTTAAGAAGTATAAAAAAATCATTTCTTAAGAATGAGTGAATGGGGGACCAGCAAATGGCATAATGGTTATGTCACTGAATTCCCATGCAGTCGACTGGAGTTCTAGTCCAGATCTGGTGGCTTAAAACTTACACTGAGCACATGTGCGTGTATGCCCGAAATCCCAAGTGGAGAATGATGGAGAAACAACTGAGGTGTGGCTATCCCCCTGAGGGATGATTTCTCACTTTCTATCTCTCTGTCTCTCCGGTGAGTGCACAAGCCCTATGGCAAAAATCTCTAAAAATTACAAAATAAATAAATAAATAAATAAAATATAGAGAGAATGAATGAATAGGGCCAGTGGGTGGTGTGGAGGTTAAGATGCTGGATCCCACATGGCTGACTGAGTTACTGAAAATCATACCAGGTATGTGTGCATGCATGCCCAGCATCCCGCGAGGAGAAAGAAAGAGAAGGAACTGCGGTATGGCCATCTCCCTCAGGGGTGATTTCTCACTTTTCTTCTCTCTGTCTTTCTCTGGTGAATGCATGTGCCCTATAACAAAATTTTAACAAGAAAGAAGAATGAGTAAATAGGGCCAGCTCCATAGCCTAATGGTTAAGGGAGCCAGAGCTAACAGTCTCAGGCCTGGCAGCTTTAATACATGGATCACCGGTGCACACATGCTCAAAATCCCAAATGGAGGAGAGGGGACTGCAGTGTGATCACACTCACTGGGAAGGGCTTTCTCCCTCTCTCTCTCGCTGGGAAGGGTGCACACGTGCCCTCTAGCAATTAAAAAAGAAAAGAGAATGAATGAATGAATGAACAAAAGAAAGGAGACCTAATTTCTTCATAACAATGTACTAAACAAGCATTAATGTCAGGAAAGTCATTAGGTCATCATGACGTATTTTTCTATATTTTTCTATGCAAAAGTGCGTCACGACTTTCCTGACGACCACTTGAGATCAGCCATGGTGGCACAGCAGTCATGCGACACTCTGATGCTGAAGCCATGTGGGAAAGCCCCAGGCCCATCCTGAGGTCTCCCTACACACGCTGGCTGTGTGTGCCTGTGACTAGGGTGCACTGCAGTGTGATGACCCCCCTTGGGTTACCTGTCTCTCTCTCTCTCATGTAAAAATTGAATAAATAAAAAATTTAAAGGCAAATATTTGGGGTACTATTGATATTAGGAATGAAAAAGGGGACATAAATTCAAGTCCTACAGAAATTAAAACCATATCAAGGGCCAGCTCTGGTCAGGTGGTTAAGGCAGCCAGATCCACGTGGCCGACAGCGCAGTTGGAGTCCCGCACCTGTCGGTCTGAGAACTACACCAGGGGCATTGAGTGTGCACTGCCAAATTCCAAAGGGAGGGAGAGATGGAGGAGAAGGGTCTGCAAGGCGACCATTCACCATGGGGGTGCTTTTTCCCTTTCCTTCTCTCTCCCTGTCTCTCAGGAGTGCATGTGGCTTCCAGCAAAATAAAATAAAAAGGGTATCAAAACCCTGAATGCTCAAGTCCCTTATATAAAGTGGTATACTATTTACATATCACCTATACACATACTTCAGTATAGTTTAAATCATCTCTAGATTATTTATAATATCTTAAATGATGTAAATGCTATGTAAATAGTTTTTACTCTGTAATTTAAAAAATTCATTGTTATTGTGATCTGCAGATAGAGCAATGGTTATATTGATGGACTCCTACATGGCCAACCATGGTTTGAGTCCTGGACCAGGAGGCTTGACACTCATGCCTGCTATGTGTGTGCATGCAAAAAATCCCAAGAAGAGAATGGAGAATAAACTGTGGCATAGCCATCCCCTCAGGGGTGATTTTCTTTTTTTATTTTGAGAGATTTTCATTGTAGGGCGCGTGCGCTCGCCAGACAGACAGAGAGAGACATAGAGACAGAAAGCGAGAAATCACCCCCCAGGGGGGATGGTCACGCCGCAATCCCTTCTCCTCCATTCTCCTCTCGGGATCTTGGGCACGCACGCACACGCGCCCGGCGTGAGTTTTAAGCCACCGGGTCCGGGACACGAACCGCGGTCCAGCGACATAGCCATTACGCCAACTGCTGGTTCCCGCCCCTCAGGGGTGATTTCATGCTTTCTGTTTCTCTGTTTCTCTGGAGAGTGCATGTACCCAATAGCAGAAATCTCTCTTAAAAAAAAAAAAAAAGTATTATTTTTAATTAATTTTTAAATTGCCTTATCCCCCAAATATTTTTTATTTTTAAAAGAATTATTAATTTAATTAATTATTATTTTATTTTTTAATTTGACCAGAAAGAGAGGAAAAGGGAAAATGAGAAAGCAAGCTACCAGGTCCGGGACTCAAACCACAGTTAGTCATGTGGGAGTCCGGTGCCTTAACCACCATGCCACCTGCTGACACCCTCCCCAAAATAATTTTGATACGCAGTTTGTTGAATCTGTGGATGCAGAACCGGTGGATACAGAGGCTGTGTGTGTGTATCAAACACTTACATGTTAATACCTACACGCATACATGAACACATATACACACATATACTCTACCTGTAACAAGATCGCTTTTAGAACTACTAGTGGGTCACTGATCTCTTCTTCAGTCTGAAGATCTTTCAAATTCACATCTAGCTGACTTTTTTCCTCCTGAGAAAGAAAACAGCAGAAGAGTCATCATTACAAATCCCTTAAAAAGTAGTTAACAGAACCAACCAGTGGTGTGGTGTTAAGGCAGCTAGATTCCTACATGGCTGACTGCATGGTTCAAGCCCCAGACTGGCGGCTCGAAAACATGCTGAAGACGTGCACATGCACGACTGAAATCCTGAAAGGAGAAACAGAGGAAAAGGGACCATGGTATGGCCGTGCCCCATGGTGGGGCTGGGGCTTTTTCTTTTCCTTTCTTTCTCTTTCTTTTCCACAGGTCCCTGGCAAAATTAAAAAAAAAAAAAAAAACTAATTAACAAAATAGGAATGGGAATGTCCATGTCCTGGCAGTTTCAAAGAGGGAGTGAAGATAGCCTGTATATGCTTTGGAATCAGCAGACTTAACTGAATTCCGGCTCTGGCTGAGAATTCTTGGACAAATTACTTAATCTCTCTGCTTGATCTGTAAATTAGGATTTGTGAGATAAGTAAAGCTTGTAGCCCAAGTCCAGCATATGAAGTTCGTTTCAATACTTCCCACTTTAGCTGCGTCCTGCATAATCTGATACATTTGGTTTCCATTATCATTCAGTTTGAAATATTTTCTGGTCTTCACCTAATCAGTTCTCACTTACTTGAGTTGGTTTAAGGAAACCCTACCCATCTTAGCAGGCTCAATTTAAACACACCCTTTCATTTCCCTATCATCCAAGTTTTCACCCCATTCTATTAGGGTTTGGGGAAATATCAAAATTATCCTGGTAGGCTATTTTTACTGATTCTTTTTCATACATGCCACCTCACAAAAAATATTTTAAATAGGCTTAAAACCATAAATGCAAATAGATGCAAACAATACAAGACAAAAATAAATAATCAAGAAATAATGGGAAATGTGCCAGGTCAGACTGCCATATTTTTCCATTCTGCTGGAATATTACTAAACATGCTGCATAAAGTAAAAACAAAACAAATAAAAACATCTGCTTAAATACAGTCTGAGGTAGCAGGAGTATCAGGCAACTCCTCAGAGGAAGCGTAGAATCTGAGGGGAAAGCCAGAGCCCCCAGCTCCCCAGCCACTGCGGTCTGCACGTGTGTGTAACCGACATTCATATGCCGAACCCTAGTCCCCAGTGCAACAGCACTGACAGGTGGCACTTTGGGGAGGTAATTAGGTCACAAGGGTGGAGCCTTCCTGAATGGGATTAGCTCCCTCAGGAAGGAGGCTGAGGGAGCCGGTATCTCTCTTCTGCCAGGTGAGCACCCACATGAAGGTGCGATCTATGGGGCAGAATGAGCCCTCACAGTCACAAATCTGTAGACTTCAAAAACTACGAGCAGTAAGTTTTTGTTGTTTATAAATCACCTAGTCTAAGGTGTTCTGTTACAGCAGTTCAGATGACTGAGGTTCTGAGCCTGCTGCCACGGAGTTCCCATTCTGATGCTCATATAGGAAGGGGTTTGGGAGGACAAGCCTGAGCCCTGCCCACAGTAGGGAACTGAGTGACTGGCTCTTCAACCACATCTCCAACTTCCTGACACCAAGAGCATGCCCTACAATTCCACTGGACTCTGACACTAGCTATCTGGTGGTTAGACTCTACCGGACGATGGCTCAGTCCTGCAAGACTACCTTCACTTCAAAGCCACAACCGTAACTGGGGTTCCCAGGTTACGTGCTCCTCTGCCTGGCCAATTAGAAACTGTCTCCCGCAACCACTAAGTCACGTTCATAATTTCCTGGAAAGAACTCATGAACTTAGACTTCTACTAGTTTCTTGTAGGGGTATAAATGAGCATCCAGGTGAAGAGGTACACAGGACAGGGCCCAGAAGGAGCTCGGGTGAAGGCGACTCCCCTGGAGTTAGGTGTGCACCCGTTCCATCATGGAGGCATGACAGATTAAATCACTGGTCACAATCCCTTGCCCCTCTCACCTCCCCAAAGTCGGGGGTGGAGCTGCAATCACTGACCCTCTGATCAAGTGACTGGCCTTTTGGTAACCTGACCTCGTCCTAAACCATTTAAGACTGGCCTCATTAACATCAACCCTGGTGTGCTGAAAGGGGATGGACAGTCCAGGGACCTCGATGCCAGGGACTAGGGACAAAGACCACATACACACTGCTTACTAGCCACACCGCAATGATGAACTCCAGCAACTCTAGAAACCCCAAAAGGCTATACCCTCAATACAAGCATGTCCTAGAAAAAAACTACCTCACAACAAAGGACACCATCTTGCCCTGACCTTGGTACTGGATGGGGGAGGCAAACCATGTCCTCCAATAATCACAACCAGGTCCTCTTGTGGTTCTGCAGCCCAGTCACACTAGCTGTGTGGTTCTAAAACCACCGAATCAAGATTTCATTTCCAAGGGGTTGGTAGTGACTCCAGGCTTGTACCACAGACAAGCATGAATCTTCCCTGGAAGTACTTCAACTCAGGCCTCGAATTACTCCTGTAAATCAAGTTCTTAAACAAAGAAAGAAGCTGTGGTCCAAAATAAAGTCATGTGGAAACAGAACAGCAGCATCAGCAGAAACCCAGATCAGACCTATAAAAATCTTCAGATACTGTAATGATCAGACAGAATTACAAAATAAGTATGTTTAATATGCTTTTTAAAAACTTACACTCTGGGGACCAGCAGTTAGCATAATGGCTATGTCACTAGACTCCCACGTAGTTGACAGTGGTTTGATTCCCAGACCTGGTGGCTTAAACTCACCCCTGGCGCATGTGCATGTGTGCCCAATACCCCAAAAGGGGAACAGAGGAGAAGGGATTGCAGCGTGGCCATCCCCCCTGGGAGGTGATTTCTCACTTTCTGTCTCTCTGTCTCTCTCTGTCTGTCTGGCAAGCGCAAGCGCCCTATAGCAAAAACCTCTCCAAACAAACAAACAAAAAACAAAAAAATTACACTCTGGAAAAAGAGATCTAGGAATGATAGGAGGGGTGAGGCGAGCAGCAAGCCCAATGTGACACAATGAGGCAGTGACACACAGGCTGGGCCCAAACCTCCCCCACTCCGCTGGTGTCCAACCCTGGCCTGTGGCCATGGGGTGATCCAGTGGGTGTTGGTCAGGAGGTCACACAGTCATGCCACTTCCTCAAATGTGCAAGGTGATGTTCACGAGACGCCACCTGTCTGAGAGCCAAAGGCCCCCAGGAGGTGGGAAGCCTGGAGCAGGCTCTTACAGATTTAGTCATGCTGGGAATGAACGGCCTCCATGCTAGGAGAGCCATGGTCTGCAGACACACTAGGAGGGAGCAAAATGTTGGCTTTCATCCAGGGAAAATCACGAGGTTGGCCCCGAAAGTTATTCCTTATAGGTAGGACCTACCAAAGAACTCTGCATAATTAGGGAACAGCTCCTTGCCAGGAAGCTGTCACTGCTGAAATTCGAGCAGAAGGAACACTGCCTGGCTACAATGACAATATCTGGGCTCCTCGGTCCCCAGGCACAGGAGAGCCTCAGGAGGAGAACACAGTAAAGAGAAAGCACAATGTCCAGCGGGCGTACCCACTAGTGTGAAATTCTCTCTCTCTCTCTTTTTTTTTTTTAGGTTTTTGCCATAGGGTGTGTGTGCTCTCCAGAGAGAGACAGAAAGAGAGAGGGAAAATGGGAAATTACCACCCAGGGGGATTGTCACACAATCTCCTCCATTCTCTTCTCAGGATTTTGGGTGCATACATGCACCTGGCATGATTTTCAAGCCACCAGGTCTAGGACTCTAACCACTGTCAGCCATGGAGGAATCCAGTGCTTTAACCACCATGCCACCTGCTGGCCCCCTAAGGTAACAATTCTTTTTTTTTTTTTTTTGAGAGGTTTTTGCTATAGGGCGCGTGCGCTCCCCAGACAGACAGAGAGAGACAGAGAGACAGAAAGCGAGAAATCCCCCTCCAGGGGGGATGGCCACGCCGCAATCCCTTCTCCTCTATTCTCCTCTCGGGATCTTGGGCACGCACGCACACGTGCCTGGTGTGAGTTTTTTAAGCCACCGGGTCCAGGACGCGAACCACAGTCGACTACATGGGAGTCCAGTGACAGCCATTACGCTAACTGCTGGCCCCCTAAGGTAACAATTCTTAAAGGACTGAACTGAATACCACAAAGCTCTGGATGTAAAGCTATGGATTTTTAAAGAATAGAACAGTAAGGAGAATAAAACAATAAACAGGACGCTTGACAGAGGCCATGAACAAGAAAAAATGCCAAGCACGAATAGAAAGCAATCTTCTGACCACAGAAAGCAAAGCCAGGCGACAGAACACCTGCCTGCCCACCTTAAGTCACATCACAAACGCGGGAGAAGATCCTGACACTGCTAGAAAAGGGCTAATCACCTTGGAAAAAATAAACACAAAATTGCAGAGATGTTGAGAGATCACGACTCAGGACGACCCAGAGGACAGAGCCATGACTGGGAAACCTGCTGCTGCACCACGGGGTGCGTGAGCTCAGCAGTCATCTTGGTCGTGAAACTCCAAGTAGCTATTTCAGGGCATACAGGACTGGGGGTAAATGCTGCCAGCCAGAGAAATGCCCAGAGCCCCAACCTGGTTGAGTGAAGCCACTGTGACAAGGGTCAGCGCAAAGGGAACCCGGACATGCTGAGGGCTGACAGACCGCACGAGGACGGGGCGTTGTGCTCCATCTGATCGGGCAGGGGCCTGGTAAGCTCACGTCTTGGTAAAGGTGGCACGAGCACTCGAGGGGGCTGCATGTACGGCTTTCTCTCCCAGCGCTGGAGTTCTCGCCACTGTGGTGCGGTCAGTAAGAGGCAGAAGGCAAAGGATCACGAAGTGTGAAACAGAACTTCTCACAGAAGCCGAGTGGAGTATAGCAAGATGGGGGTTATAGGGAACCAGCAGTTAGCGTAATGGCTATGTCGCTGGACTCCCACGTAGTCAACCGCGCGGTTCGCGTCCCGGACCCGGTGGCTTAAACTCACGTTGGGCGCGTGTGCGTGCGTGCCCAAGATCCCGAGAGGAGAATGGAGAAAGGATTGCGGCGTGGCCATCCCCCCTGGGGGATGGTTTCTCACTTTCTGTCTCTCTCTGTCTGTCTGGTGAGCGCACACGCCCTATAGCGAAAAACCTCTCAAAAAAAAAAAAGATGGGGGTTACAATACGCACACGCTAACGGACTGCACTTCAGTACGCCGGCCACACAGCCCAGGGCCCTGAGGACAGGCGTGCCCCACAGAGCAGCTGCCTGGCACACATCTTCCTGGTAGAAGTTCGACCTCCTTGTACCCACACTTCACGGAAATCGCTCTCCCAGTGCATTCGCAATATAACTATAGGACACTGGAACTAGTCATAGGTGTTTTGAAAAGGAAGTTGACTGTCAAAGATAGAACGTGTGTCTGGAGATTCCCAGAGCCAGGAGAGGCCGCAGCATGTTGAAGCAGCTGCTCATTAACAGGATTAACTCCTGATCATCAAAAGCCTGTGCTTTTTTTCCTTACAATTTTTTGCCATAGGGCACATGCGCTTGTTAGACGGAAAGAGAGAGAGGGACACTGAAAATCACCTCCCAGGGGGATGGCCATGCCACAGTCCTGTCTCCTCTATTCTCCTTCTGAAATTTTGGTGTGCATGCACACACCTGGCATGATTTTTTTTTTCCTGCTATAGGGCGCATACGCTCGCCAGAGACAGAAAGCAAAAAAACCCCCCCCAGGGGGGATGGCCACGCCGCAATCCCTTCTCTTCCATTCTCCTCTTGGGATCTTGGGCACGCACACACACATGCCTGGCGTGAGTTTTAAGCCACCGGGTCAGGGACTCAAACTGCAGTCAACTACATGGGAGTCCAGCGACAAGCCTTCACACTAACTGCTGGTCCCATAGTTTTCAAGCCACCAGGTCTGGGACTCAAACCGCAGTTGTCCATGTAGGAGCCCAGTACTCTAACCACTATACCACCTGCTGTTCCCAAGGAAGCTACGTTTTTAGCACTTCACACTATAATATGATGGTCTGTGACTCGCATATAGGCGTCATACTGTATTTTAGTTTCATCTTAGAAAACTGTTTGAGGGTTTGGAGTTGACATGTAACACTCCAGACTCTCAAAAGAATTAGACTGTAGTTAGTGCTTTCCCTCAGAACGCCTGCAAGTTCCCTTTTCTGGAAAAAATCATAAAACCTTTTTTTTTTCTTTTAGTTTTGTGATAGGGCATGTGCACTCAGTGGAAAGGAGAGAGAGAGGGAAAAGCGAGAGACCAGCCCCCAAGCGGGGAGGGTCATGCCACAATCCCTCCTCTCCCATTCTCCTCTCAGGACTTTGAGCATACACTGACAATCATTCGTCATGTTTTCAAGCCACTGGGTTTGGAACTTGAACCACACAGTTGATCAATGCCATTGGTTGACCCCAGAACTATTTTTTTTCTTGAGAGATTTCTGACATAGGGTGCACGTGCTCACCAGAAAGAGAAAGACGGAGAGAAAGTGAAAAATCATACTCCAGGGGGATGGCCACACTACAATCCCTTCTCCTCCACTCTCTTCTCAGGACTTTGGGCATGCATGCAGATGTGCCCAACATGAGTTTCAAGCAGCTAGGTCCAGCATTCGGACCATGGTTGGCCATATGGGAGTCCAATGCCTTAATGACCATGTCACCTGCTGCCCCCTTCAAGGACTTTTGAGTAAGTCGTTAAAAGAGCTTTAAAAAATTGAAAGACGTATCTTATTCAAATACGAAGACTTGAATCCCCAATATGTGTGAGTGCATGTGCACATGCGTGCACACACACCAACGCAGGTGTGAGGATACTGTATGACAAGGGGCATCTAGAAATGTACATGGAAGCATATAAAAACAAGATGGGCAAGACATTCCTGAAGAATAACGTGTAGAGACACGTGCTCTGTTGGACAGCATGACTTCCTACAAAGCTATGGAAATTAACAACGTGGTACCTGCCCAGGACTGTAAGAGCACAATGGAACAGAATAGAAAGCTGAATAGGAGACTCATGCATCAATAAACAACTGACACAACAAGACTGGCACAGTAGACTGTTAGAGAAAAATGGGTTATTTAATAAATGGTAATTTCTCAAAATTGGGGGTATTCAGTGTAATCCAGTCAGTAGTTAGTGAGCTTTGTTTTAAAGAGCTGCCATGAAAGACATGCCTTTCAGAAATATTAAGCAGTATAAAATTCATTCTGGCTTTACACCCTATTGTGAAAGCTACAGGCATGGGATTTATCGTTTTACTATATTTTCACCTACAACCTCCAGGATACAGTCAGTATTATGTGTTACCCAAATCAATGCTCATTTCCTCTGTGGGGAAAGGATTCAATACTTGCCAGCTAAGGAACAAGGCTCTCTCTCTGTTATGGTGGAGCAACTGTAAAACTGAGGAATGGTTCTAGATTAAAAGAGCCTTAGAGGGTGGTAGCTAGGTGTAAGACAACAGCCTAAGTGATTCATTTTCAAGAATGGCTTAACAAAAGTTGCTTAAACAGCTTGCAGATAGGACAGGAAAGTTCCTGAACAAAACCCTGAACAACTGGCCTGTGAGAACAAGGTGAGGCAGTCATAGTCCTTTGCTCCTTTTTACTTCCTGATTCTTCTCCCTCCTCAGGACATTTGGTGGCCTTTTTCACAGGACTGTCCTGAGCCTGTGCCTTTCCGGCAAACAAGAGAGGAAAGGGGGCAGTCAGTGCCTAATGGAATAATGAAACTTAGATGCCAGCTGGGAAGACTGTACACCCCACACTTCTCAGCCAGTGAGGAAGTGGGGCAGAGACTTGTGTGCTAAGGGATGAATTATTGTCATAACCGTTCCTGGCATGCCTGCCCATCAGATTTCCCATCTTGCAAGACCGCCATTAAAGTCTCCCTGGCCAGACCATGTGTCTCTGTGTCCTTTCTTTGGCACTGGATGGGCGAGTATGTTTCTCACACTAAGTACAACGCAGGATCTTGGACTTGACGCTTGGGAGAAAGTTATCACAGTGTGGATTGGACACCGAATGGACTCCGAATATGTATTTATTAGACAGCAGTACTAAATCAATGTTAAAGTTCCTGATTTGGATTTATGCTTCTGTAAAAGAATATCCTTGTTCTGAGAAAATAAACATTGACATATTTAGGGGTAAAGGGGCTTGATGTCTTCACCTTAATTTCAGTGGTTCAGCGCTCAGAATGGTAGTGTTAATAACTGCATGTCTGTGTGTGCACATGCACAAACGTGGAAAATGCTAACAACTGAACAATCTAGGTAAAGGGCACGTAGGCCATGTCTTTACTCTCCTGGTAATGTGTGTACATGTAAAATTATTTACAAATTAAGAGTTAAAACACACACCAAATTAACTCTCAGTGTCGGTCAGTTTTTTCTGTAGACTGGATATATAATAAACGGGAGACAGCTGTCCTGAACAAAAGAGTAGGACTAGAGCGCTTTTCGTAAGTGGTCTGAGGCGATCTTTGAACATGGTTCGCTATTCACTCGACCCAGAGAACCCTGCAAAGCCCTGCAAATCGAGAGATTCAAATCTTCGTGTTCCGGGACCAGCAGTGAGCATAATGGTTGTGTCGCTGGCTCCCATGTAGTCGACCGCGGTTTATGTCCCGGACCCGGTGGCTTAAAACTCACACCGGGTGCATGTGCGCGTGTGCCCAAGATCCCGAGAGGAGAATGGAGAAGGGACTGCGGCATGGCCATCTCCCCTGGGGGGTGATTTCTTGCTTTCTGTCTCTCTGTCTCTCTGTCTGTCTGGCGAGCGCACGCGCCCTATAGCAAAAACCTCTCAAAAAAAAAAAAAAAACTTCGTGTGCTTATATTTTAGGAACACTCATGAAACTGCCCAGGCCACCACGGGTGTGCATTCTGCAAAGCCTCCAGTATTTGAAGGACGCCACTTTACAGAAACGGTGTGAGCCATTCCATCATTACAGTGGTGGAGGCAGTAGGTGTGCTGAGGCCACACAGTGGGGCTGGACACAGGGTCAGTGGTCCACAAAGAACACTGAATTTCTGCTGCACATGCTTAAAAATGCAGAGAGAAATGCTGGACGGAAGGGGTTACTGCAGCTTCTCTGGTCATTGAGCACATTCAGGTGAACAAGGCACCCAAGGTACACCTTTGTACTTAGAGAGCTCATGGGTGGATTAACCCACACGTGAGTTCCTTCTGCCACATCGAGATGATCCTTCCTGAAAAGGAGCAAAGTGCTCCTAAACCAGAAGAGGACGTTGCAGAGAAGGAAAAGATGCTCCAGCAGAAACTGAAGAAACAAAAACTTATGGCACGGGAATAAAGTCAGCATAAAATAAACACAGATGAAAATAAAAGAAAAAAATAATAGAACTAGAAAAGCAAAGAAATTGCAAAGATACTTCTGAATGAATTTCTATACTTACTGGAAATTGCCAGTTTCCCAAGTGATCAACATCTTTAATATAGACATGGTAATGTCCTCCATAGCAACCACCCTGGTGTATGATAACGGAGAAGAGGTCATACGTGTATTCCATGTCATCCAGTTCACACTACACCAAAAAAGTATAAACACCAACATCATTTACATAAAAAGATAATACACACGTAGGGGAAAAAGAATTTCAGCTACTAAAATTAGTAAGAAACTTCACTGTTTATAACTGGTTTTAAGGGTAAATAAAGATGAATTTAGGGTCAGTGGGTGGCATGGAGTTAGAGTAGCTGGATCCCACATGGCCGACTATGCGGTTCAAGTTCAGCGCCTCACCCAACACGCCACCTGCTGGTCCCAAGTGAGTAGTATTTTAAAACGTTTTGTTCAGGCAAAAGACAAGAGAGATGCACATTAAGATGCAAAGTGATTTTTTTTTTCCCAATTAGTTCAGAAATTCAATAGTAAAATATGGATTTCCTACATAAACGTTCTTTCTGTTGTTTTCACTTATTTCAGTTTTGCTATGTCAAAGTATGAGAGTACGTCAAAAAAAAGCAATGGAAAATGGAGTTAAAATATGACTTTATTTTTACGCAAAAAAATTTGAAATCCATGCATGATTTTCCCTTTCTTTTTTCCTCCCTTTTTCCCTCTCCTCCTTCCTCCCTCCTTCTTTCCTTTGTTTTAAGGTTTAGGGTGCATACATTCCTGGAGGGTGGCGGAAAGAGAGATACTGAGACAGAGAGATACAGAGGGAGAGATAGAGATACATAAACTCCCTTCTGGGAAAAGTGAGGGAAAGTGAGTAATCACCCCACAATCCCTTCTCCTCCATTTTTCTCCCAGGATCTTGGGCAGGCATGCACACGTGGCTGGCATGATTTTCAAGCCACTGGGTCTGAGTCTCGAACTATGATCACCCATGTGGGAGTCCAGTGACGTAGTCACTACCCCATCTGCTGGCCCGTAGAGGAGCAAATACATTAACTATTTTATTTTAAACAATGATAGGGTAGTAATATTTATTTAAAATTTTTAAAAGATGTATTTCATTTAACTTTATTTATTTATTCATTTAATTAAATTTGACCAGAGAAGGACAGCGCGCGCACGAGAGAGAAACAGAGAGAGAAAGCGAGAAAGCAAGCTGCCAGGTCCAGGACTCAAACCAGTCAGCCGTGTGGGAGTCCAGCACCCTTAACCACCACACCACCTGAAGGACAGAGCAAGAGAGAGCGAGAAAAGCGAGAAAGCAAGCCGCCAGGTCCAGAACTCAAACCACAGTCAGCCATGTGAGAGTCCGGCACCCTTAACCACCACACCACCTGCCAGCCCCTATTAACTCTTCCAATAGTAGTTTAAACAATAAGACCAAAACCAAAAGGCTCAGTAATCACACTTCAAATAGAACGAGGTCCATCTACAAAGAGTTTGAATTAGAGAACGCTTATAAAAAGATTTTTTACATAGAAATTCAATTATTTGCTAATAAATGTTCCATTCTTAATAAAAATGTAAGAATGATTTCTAGTAAGAAACACATCACTCTTAGCAATTACAATAAAAGATATTTGAAAATGGCTTATAAAGTAGATTGATATTATAAATAATCTGTTTTTAAAACTTTCTTTCCTGTTTCTTAAGATTCTGGATTCTAGATTGGTGAAGTCCCATTTGCCTGTTCACTTTCTAGATGTATAATTCATCATTACATCTAAAATAAGCTAAGTCCAAACAGCTAACTATCAGTTAATGGTAATTTTTCTAAATACAAGGCCTTTTCTAATTTTGTTCTTATTTTTTTCTTATTTCAATGACTTATCAGAAAGAGTTTAATAAAGAGAACCAAGAACAAATCCACACTTTGGAAATTCAAAAGGGCTATAATAAGTCAGTGGTTCTCAGCCAGGAGTACCCTTTCCCACTCCGTCCTCCTAGGAGACAAGGCCAGTGGCCAGTCTGGCTCCCCTACCAGGGGAGAGCGGGCCAGGGGGTGCTGCTGTCACCTAGTCAGTAAGTGAGGCCAGGGGCGTTTCTAAACTCACTACAAAGCACAGGACAGTCCCGACACCAGACATGTGTTTGACTTGACATGTGAAAAGTGCCGAGATGGAGAGATTCTAAATTAAATAGACTGAAAAATATGTCACTAAAAGATTCAATTTTAGGAGAGAAAAAGAACAAACTTAAAAATAAAGCAGTCCAAACCTGTTCACAAAAAGGCTTGAGATTGATCCGGAGAGGGAACGTATAACAGCTTGTTTCCTTGTAACGTTCATGCTTCACGAAATCAAAATTAAATCTTAATAATGAGACAGTAAGAAAAGGAGGCAGCTTACGTAATTTGGCCGACTGTTAAAAGAAAAATGTACAAAGTGTTTAAAAAGTAGAGTTACAGAAAAGCATACATATATTTTTTAAGGTAGGGAAACAATTTATGAAAGGGTTTTAAGGGAAATATGTCCTTAAACCATAAACTCAATGGATTCGATACAACATAAAACTTGACGTAAATTCATCTGTTTTATGGGACTAAAGATGCATAGCTCATTTATGCTCACACTAAACATTTACAAGCCAGTCTAATGTTTTCCATGCTGCTACCCTAAAACACTGTTTCATGAGCATGTTCTAACAGGGGGCCCCTTCTCTAGCAGTGTGTTTCCTGCTTGACTTCTGGCCTTTCTTATTCCTTCCTCCTTGGTGAATCCAGTTTACCTAGAAGACACACAGTTCTTTTAATTCAGTGAAAAATTAGAGCTCTTACTCTGGGACCTGGGGATCTGTTTCAAATAATCTGAGTCCATGAAATGATATAAAAATTTTATGTGTACATGTATTTTTCTGAGAAGATCCATAGCTTTCAATAGACTTTAGAGGTTAAAAACTATTGATCGGGCTTTTATAGTTACTCTTCCTAAAATCAAAAGCAGGTAAGATAATGTTTTAGTTCCTTGCTTTAAAACAAAACACTGGGGCTGGCCTGTGGCCTGGGGGTTCAGGTGGCTAGAGACCATATGGCCAACTGCACAGTTTAAGAAACATGCCAGGTGCCTCTGTGTGCATGCCCAAAATCCCAAAGAGGAGGGAAATGGGAAAAAGGGATTGTGGTGTGACCATGCCCCATGGGGGATGCTTTCTCGCTTTCCCTCTCTCTCTCTTTCTCTGGCAAGTGCACGTACTCTCTGGCAAATTAAAATAATAATTTAAAATATTTTAAAAACAAAACACTAAATTAAGCTACTTTGTATTTAAGAGTCAGCAGTTGTTCCCATCCTCCTGGATTAACAGCCTCTAAAGGAAAAAAATCCTCCCTAGATATAAAATTACCCATAGTCATACACGTCTACCATTATTAAAATTATATTTAAAATAACAATAGCACAAATCTCATGGATAAAAACAAACTAAATAAACAAAAAAGGAACCAGTGGACCAGCAGGTGGCATGCTGATTAAAGTGTGGACTCCCACATGGTTGACCATGGTTCAAGTCCCAGACCTGGTGGTTTGCTTTCTCATTTTCTCTGTCTCTCTGAGTCTCTCTCTCTGGTGAGTACATGTGCCCTATAGCAAATTAATAATAATAAAAATAATAAATAATTCTTTTTTTAAAAAAGGAGCAGCAATACAACATGACAGATTTTCAAATGAGCTCTGAAAATCGATTTTAAAAAACTGAGTAACTTGGGCGAGCCAGGTACCATGGTGGTTAAGGCAGCTAGATCCCACATGTTGACTACACAGTTAAAGCTAGACCTGGCAGGCTGAAAAACATACCAGGCACATGCACATGTGTGCCCCAAATTCCGAGCAGAGAGATGGGATGGCCACCCTCTTCCCCTGGGGGTGCTTTCTCATGTTCCCTCTCTCTGATTCTTTCTGCCTCCAGAGAGTGCATGTGCCCTATAGCAAATTAAATAAAAACAAACCAAAAATGAAATTAAAAAAAAACCTGAGTGGAACCAGCAGTTGGCGTAATGGCTATGTTGCTGGACTCCCGTGTAGTCAACTGCAGTTCAAGTCCCGTACTTAACCCAGTGGCTTAAAATCACGCTGGGCGTGTGTGCATGTGTGCCCAAGATCCCGAGAGGAGAATGGGGGAGAAGGGATTGCGGTGTGGCCATCCCCTCTGGGGGGTGATTTCTCGCTTTCAATGGGAAAAAGGGATTGTGGTGTGACCATGCCCCATGGGGGATGCTTTCTCGCTTTCCCTCTCTCTCTCTTTCTCTGGCAAGTGCACGTACTCTCTGGCAAATTAAAATAATAATTTAAAATATTTTAAAAACAAAACACTAAATTAAGCTACTTTGTATTTAAGAGTCAGCAGTTGTTCCCATCCTCCTGGATTAACAGCCTCTAAAGGAAAAAAATCCTCCCTAGATATAAAATTACCCATAGTCATACACGTCTACCATTATTAAAATTATATTTAAAATAACAATAGCACAAATCTCATGGATAAAAACAAACTAAATAAACAAAAAAGGAACCAGTGGACCAGCAGGTGGCATGCTGATTAAAGTGTGGACTCCCACATGGTTGACCATGGTTCAAGTCCCAGACCTGGTGGTTTGCTTTCTCATTTTCTCTGTCTCTCTGAGTCTCTCTCTCTGGTGAGTACATGTGCCCTATAGCAAATTAATAATAATAAAAATAATAAATAATTCTTTTTTTAAAAAAGGAGCAGCAATACAACATGACAGATTTTCAAATGAGCTCTGAAAATCGATTTTAAAAAACTGAGTAACTTGGGCGAGCCAGGTACCATGGTGGTTAAGGCAGCTAGATCCCACATGTTGACTACACAGTTAAAGCTAGACCTGGCAGGCTGAAAAACATACCAGGCACATGCACATGTGTGCCCCAAATTCCGAGCAGAGAGATGGGATGGCCACCCTCTTCCCCTGGGGGTGCTTTCTCATGTTCCCTCTCTCTGATTCTTTCTGCCTCCAGAGAGTGCATGTGCCCTATAGCAAATTAAATAAAAACAAACCAAAAATGAAATTAAAAAAAAACCTGAGTGGAACCAGCAGTTGGCGTAATGGCTATGTTGCTGGACTCCCGTGTAGTCAACTGCAGTTCAAGTCCCGTACTTAACCCAGTGGCTTAAAATCACGCTGGGCGTGTGTGCATGTGTGCCCAAGATCCCGAGAGGAGAATGGGGGAGAAGGGATTGCGGTGTGGCCATCCCCTCTGGGGGGTGATTTCTCGCTTTCTGTCTCTCTCTGTCTTTCTGGTGAGTGCACGTGCCCTATAGCAAATATCTCTCCAAAAAAAACAAAACAAAAGACCTAACTCAATTGTAATGTGGCTGAAGAAAGACTAAGGACAAGAAAATCTACACTAATTTACATAGCATGGACAAACTGAAACTTGTAATGAAATAATTCCAATACAACTAGAATAGAATGCATTTTTAAAAGTATCAAGATGGGACCAGCAGATGACATAATGGTTACATTGCTAGACTCCCATGCAGTCGACTACAGTTTGAATCCCAGACCTGGCGGCTTAAAACTCATGCTGGACACGTATGCGTGAGTGCCCAAGATTCCAAGAGAAGAATGGAGAAGGGATTCTGGTGTAGCCCTCCTGCTGGGGGTAGGGGAGTGATGATTTCTCACTTTCTGTTTTATTCTGTCTCTCCAGCAAGTACATGCACCCTATTGCAAAAATCTCTCTCTTAAAAAAAGTATCAAGTTAAAAAAGAATCCACCAGAAAAGACTTAAACCTAGATATTTATAAATTACCTATCAAATCATTTTGTTAATAATTTCATGAATATTAATAATTACTAGTACCTAGCATTGTGGAAATTATGTGAAAAATACATTAAAGAAAATTCTATAGTGAGAAATCACATAGAATTATGAAACATCAAAAGCAAATATAAATGAATGTTTGTTAGGAATTAAAGTGAGAACTAAAAGAAAAACTCCACGAAATGTTTTTTTCTAAATTCTGCCCCCCCCAAAGAGTATTTACATGCAGATTCCCTTAAGAACAAGTAGGTTGATAACCTGGACCCAAAGGGCTCGCCCAGTAGGACACGGAGGAGGTCCTGTGTCAGAACTGGGGTAAACCATCACACACAGCAGATTCTCCAAAAGGCCGAAGAGCGGACATAATGCCACTGCCACATCAGAAAGGTGCTGCAATGTATAAAATTCATGCTGTCTGAAATTAACACTGCTGTCTGAAATTAACACCACTGAACTAAATGGTGAGTATCTCATTCCTCTGCTTGTCAAGGCTTCTCTTCTTTCCTGGACTCTGAAACAACTATGAATAATATCTACAGGAATGGCTACAAATGTGACAAACAGATGTGAGAAATATCAGGATTCTGTGCTAATTGATTTATTTTTACTTTTCTGTTTTACTTTTCACTCTGCCCCCCCCAAAAATCAGTTGCTTAAATCTTACCTTTTTTTCATCTTTCATTTTGCTTTATTATAAAGAAAACCAAGTACTCTGCTGAGTCCCTTAATCAGCAAGTTGAGTGCAGCATCCCTCGGTATCCAGGAGACTGGTTCCAGGCACCCTTTCGGGACTCACTAGATGGCCAAGGCCCTCTAGTGATGTAGTATTTGCATATAACCTATGTACAACTTCCAGTATACTTGAATTACCCTAAGGTTCCTTATAATCCCTAATGAAATACAAATGCTATGTAAATAGCTGTTACACTTTACTGTTCTTTATTTGTATTATTTTTATTGTTATTTGGTTATTGCACTTCTTCCCCCATGAACAGTTTTGATCTATGGTTAGCTGTTGTGGATGTGCAGCCTGGGGATACAGTGGGCTGACTGTACTCCCAGCCGGAAGAAGAGAGTGGGGCATTAGATTTGCTAGAATGAGCGAGGACAAATCCAAGATTACAAAACAATTGCATGTTAGAACCAGTGGTTGGCATAATAGCTATATCACTGGACTCCCACATAGTCAACCAGGGTTTGAATCTCTGACCGAGTGGCTTAAACTCATGCCAGGTGCATGTGTGTGCATGCCCAAGATCCTGAGAGGAGAATGGAAGGGAAGGTACTGCAGCATGGCCATCCCCCCAGGGGCGATTACTCACTTTCTGTCTGTCTTTCTGGCAAGCGCATGCACCCTATAGCAAACCCCCTCCACCCCCCCAGAAAAAAAAGACTGCAAAACAACTGAATGTTGGGACCAGCAGTTGGCATAATGGCTATGTCGCTGGACTCCCACGCGGTCAACTGCGATTCAAGTCCCAGAACCAGTGGCTTAAACTCACACCGGGATCGTGTGCGTGTGTGCCCAAGATCTCGAGAGGAAAATGGAGAAGGAATTGGGGCGTGGTCATCCCCCCAGGAGGCAATTTCTTGCTTTCTGTCTGTCTCTCTCTCTCTTTCTGGTGAGAGCACGCGCCCTATAGCAAAAACCTCTCCAAAAACAAACAAACAAAAAAAAACAAAACAACTGCATGTTGAGAAAAATGAAGAAAGCCATCTATTTCAAAGTAATAAACAAAGAAAATAAAGCTCAACATGCTTCTTGGCTGGCAGAAATAAAACAGATACTGAAATTTGCAAAAAAAAAAAACAAAACAGGAATATGGGGAGTTTATTGAAAAAGGCAACTTAAACACTGAGGTACAAATAAATTTTTTCTGAAAGAAAAGGTAATTGAGAAAACTATTAGATTGAAAGCTTTAAAAAGTTCTTTATTGTAAAAAATTAAAATATACACAAAGAACATGTCTTTTCAAGTTGTGTTAAAAAGGGCTTTAAGTACCTCTTCTAGACTTTTCATACAAGCTGATTTCAGCTGACAGACCTTTCTGCCTGCTATTAACTACTAAAATCAATAGGGCCCCTCCATCTGCGGATGTGTTCCAGGACTCCCAGCGAATGTCTGCCGTGCAGTTAGTACTCAACCCTGTCTGTGGGCACCATGCTTCTCCCTGTATCTAGATAGACGCCTATGACAAAGTTTAATGTATAGATTAAACTAATTCATAAGCGATTTGACGTGAGCACTGAGATATCACAATGGTGACTCTGAAAACTGAGACAGCTGCTAAGAGACTAAGAGGCAGCTCGTGTACAGAGCAGGGACCTGCTGGACAAAGTGGAGTCACCCCCCCGGGTGGGTCAGAGAGGGTCTAAGTGAGATTTCACCATGCTACTCAAGCTGGCATACAATTTAGAACTTCCATTGTTTATTTCTGGATTTTTCCATTTAGGGTTTTCATACCATAGTTGACTATAGCTAACTGGACATGAGAAGTCGAGTCACGGACGGGGTGTGGCTAATGTACTAAGAGGCCCTGGGAAAAGGGAGGTGTCTGTCTTTACCTTTGCTGCTTTAACCAGCCTGTCACAAGTCCCACAGTGGTACAAGTTGTCATAATCAAACACTTCCTCTTCTACGTACATATTCCAGAGAGCTTCTTCCAGACCAGATACATTTTTGACTGCTACTGTTAGATCCAAAAAGTCTTCCTGAAATATATATGAATGTGATATTGAAAAAGCAAACAACTTAACAGAGGTTTACAAATACATCACTAACACACTTTCCTTAAAAAGTTCATGGAAAAATTATTGCATCAAAACAAACTTGTATTTTAATTCCATTTTCCCACAGACTTTTATAAAAGTTTATTTACTTATTCCATGCACAAGAGAGAAAGAGATTTAGTTCCCCTACAGGGTGCCACAAAGCACCCCCAGCCTCAGCCAGCCCTGGGTCACAGGTATACATGTGCCTACAGTATAAGGAGCAGTCTCTTTCCTTGAACTGGCAACCTTCCCATGTGGGTCTGCCCTGCAGGGCATTGCACTACCACTCAGTTCCTATCCACAAATTTTCTGAAGTCCCCTTGTATGCTGGGAATAATCAGATATGCTTTTCCTATTATACCATATATATGAAGATATTATATCCTAATTAGATACTGTAAAATGTATAACACTACCCTTTTTTCTAAACAGAACTATAATTTAACTTAAAATATATCAGAAAAGGGACCAGCAGGTGGCATGGAGGTTAAGGCGCTGGACACTCCCACATGGCCAACTGGGGTTCGAGTCCTGAATGTGGGGGCTTGCTTTCTCACTTCCTCTCTCTCTCACTCTCACCCTCTGTCTCTCTCTGGTCAAATTAAAAAATAAATGAATGATTAAATAAAGAATAAAATAAATAATTATTTAAAAAATATATCAGAAAAAATTTATAAACAAAGAAGTTCAGAGTTTACTGTAGATACAATAAAACTTCTTTTATCAGGAAATAAACCACAATCAAACACGTATCTTAATTTAGAAGTATATACAGAAGGTTTAATACTGTTTTCTATTATATTTCTATTTCTAGTTATATATTTCTATTATATTCAAAAGTAGGTTATAATAGTAAGGGCAGGGTGGAGTTCTACAATATAAATTCCATTTCTTCCTTTTCTTTTGCTAGGCTTGATTTAGGACATATTTGAAGAGGACATAAAAATTATTATTTTTTAAGGTTTTTCTCATAGGGCATGTGTGCTCACTGGAGACAGAGACAGTGAGGGGGAAAATAAGAAATCACCCTCTTTGGAGGATGGCTATACTGCACTTGGTGTGATTTTCAAGCTACCAGGTCTGGGACTTGAACCATGGTCGGCTATGTAGGAGTCCAGCACCTTAACCACTACACCACCTGCTGGCCCTAAAGACATTATTTTTTTAAGTCAAGATAAAAAGATGTTTCTAGGGTCAGCAATGGCGTAGTGGTTAGTTGGCTGGATCCTACATGGACCACTATGCTGTTTTAACTCCTGGACCCAACAGCTTGAGAACCAGACATGTCTGTGTGTGGCCAAACTCCCAACAGGAGGGAGAAATGAAGAGACCGAGACGTGACCATGCCCAATGGGAGAGGAGTGTGCGTTCTCCCTCACTCTCTCTCTCTCCCTTTGTCTTACTCTGGCAAATAATTAATAAATAAACAAGTAAATTTCTATGAAAGATAAGAGAATCATAAATTCTATTGGGTTGTCAGAAAAGTCATAATATATTTTTCAATAATATAACTACATTTACAATATATTTCTAGCAATAATGCTATTTTCATTTAGCAAGTTTAAGTCATAGTTCTAGTTCTGTGTTTGAGTACAATAACATTACTTTAAGGAATTATGGGGACTGGAAAAAAATAAGGCACTAGTTAGCTTACAGTGAAAATAGCAATAAAAGTAATGTGAATGATTTATAATACTTGTCACAAAGTTAGTTTATAATTCATAATATACTTTACATACAAAGTGTTTAAAGACTGTTTCTGTGAATCGTTATATCAGAGCTAAGTCAATCATGGGAACCAGCAGTTGGTGTAATGGCTATGTCGCTGGACTCCCACGTGGTCGACCGCGGTTCGCGTCCCGGACCCAGTGGCTTAAAACTCATGCCAGGCACGTGTGCATGCATGCCCAAGATCCCGAGAGGAGAATGGAGGAGAAAGGATTGCAGTGTGACCATCCCAACTGGGGGGGGATTTCTCGCTTTCTGTCTCTCTGTCTCTCTCTGTCTGTCTGGCGAGCGCACGCGCCTTATAGCCCTATAGCCAAAAACCTCTCAAAAAAAAGCTAAGTCAATCATACAATAATTCAAAGACATAAATAACATCTTAATTATTTTCAAACTAGGCTGACCAAAAAAGCTTCTATAGTAACTAGTCAATAAAGGTCAGGCAGTAATTTTTTTTTTTTATCTCCAACTATTTTTTTAAAAATAAAAAAGAAAATATACATATACATATAATATGTACATGTGTATTTATAATATATATTTATAGACATATTTATTTACACACATATGTACACACATGCATGTGAGTATCCAAAATACAATTAACACATTTTTTTAAATGGCATTTAATTTTTTACTCATACAATCAAATACAGAAACAAGAGTTCTACAACTCTTGCCGAAACAAAAAGAATTTTTATTAAAGGATGACTGCTCAGTGATGTAACCACTGGCTGTACAGGATATGTAAAACAAATAGATTATTATATTTACATGAGCAAATTTTTAATTTCCGACTAAATTAAAGAAGCCATTTGTGTCATTACAGAGAATGGAAGGTAACACTAATTAAAACAGGGTATCTTTATATAATTTGGTCTGTGTATAATATATAAACATAAGCACACACATACATAGAAATTTTCTGAAGGGTATCAATAAGCTAAATCCAATATTTACTCACTTATTTATGTTTCATGTTAAAAAAAAAAAATGAACCCATGTTAACGTCTTTACTTCCAAGAATCTCTATGCAAAAGAAATGTAAAAGCTTTTTAAACAACTTAAGGAATACTTGCAGATTTTTAAACTATTATAAAGTTGTCATTAAAGACAATAATTTATAGAGGTTTGTGAATTTAAACATTCCTGTTTTCTCCATTTTTATTACCTCCCTAATTAACTTCCTTTATAATATTTCTGTTACTATTTGTAATAAATACTTTAATTATCATGTGCTATGGTAGATTTAATTACATGAATTCTGATTTATCATACAACTTATTACTAAAAGCTCTTGAATATTCACCTGCTTCTCACTGACAGTCCGACATTCTTTACAAACAATCTGGTTAACGATGGTTCCGTGGTATAGATGGTTGATGAGGTCATGGCCGGAGGTCCCCACTAAAGAAGTTTCCAAAGCACTGAAGAGAATTCGATTCAGTTCCTGCACATCATGTTGCCTCAATTCCTATAAAAAACAAGAACCTTTTAAAATTAAAAAAAAAAAAAATGTGTACTTTTTGGGCCAACAGTTGGCATGGAGGTTAAGGTGCTAGATCCCACATGGCCGACTCCTTGGTTTGAGTCCCAGACCGAGCAGCTTGAAAAATGTGCCAGACACGTGCGCATGTGTGTCCAAAATCCCGAGAGGAGACTAAAGGAGAAGGGACTGTGGTGTGGTCATCCCCCTGGGGGGTGATTTATCACTTTCCCTCTTTCTCTGTCTCTCTCCAGGGAGTGCATGTACCCTGCAGCAAAAATATAAAACAAAACAAAACAAAACAAAATTAATTGCCAGAGGGCATGTGCACTCACCAGAGAAAGACACACAGAGAGAGAAAAAGCAATCCCTATGTGACATGGTCACACCACAACCGCTTCTCCTCCATTTCCCCATCTCGTCTAGATTGGCACGCACATGTACCTGGCATGTTCTTCAGGTCACCAGAGCCGGGAATCAAATTGTGTGGTCAGCCATGTAGGATTTGGCTCCCTTAACCACTAGGCCATGGAGCTGGCTTCAAACAAATAGCTTCTAAATGTAATTTTATACTTTATAAATTTTTTCAGGTTGATTTTAAAATGATATTAGTTAATAAAAACAGAAGATACTACTGAGTGATCCAAAGATCCACTTTGATCAGGTAAAAGACTACCAAGCAAAATAAGCCGAGAGCAGGTGAAGTAATCATTACCTATCTTTTTCTTTCTCTCTTAAAGAATTCTCACTGTGTCACAATCCTGCCTCTGCCTGTATAGCTTGGACTACACATGCAGGCTCCTACCCTTTGCCTGATCCCCACCCACTTTGATTTATATGGCACTATAAAATGAAAGCACAGTACAATGTGCACTCACTCTACACCTGCAAAGTACATTTACCCCACACAGGTGGGGTGCCACACAGGTGGCCTGGCACAGGAAGGAGGGGGAGGAAAGAGCAGCAGGTGCACACCAGCCTGGAGGCCCTGGCAATGTCTGCGCAGGGTCAGCTGTCTCATTTGTGTATGTTGAGCGATTGGTAAGCAGTCTGAACTGACCACATTAAAAGAGACTGGAAGTAGGGACCAGCAGTTAGCGTAATGGCTATGTCGCTGGACTCCCACGTAGTGGACTGCGGTTCACGTCCTGGACCCGGTGGCTTAAAGCTCATGCCGGGCACGTGTGCATGCGTGCGTGCGTGCGTGCCCAAGATGGAGGAGAAGGGATTGCCGCGTGGCCATCCCCCCTGGGGGGTGATTTCTCGCTTTCTGTCTCTCTGTCTCTCTCTGTCTGTCTGGCGAACGCACACGCCCTATAGCAAAAGCCTCTCCAAAAAGAAAAAAAGAAAGAGACTAGAAGCTATTGTTTTGTAATATGAACCAATTATCAATAAAACAAGATGGGCGATGTGCTGCTAAGAAACACTGCTGATGGAACCCAGTTTAACCACTGTGAGGCAGGCAGCTGTGTGTGTGAGCTACTCCTTAAGAGCAATTTGAACCAAAGCCCAGGGATGGAGGATGGGAAAGTGAGGTCATGGGACCCAGGGAGAGCTGGGCTAGAAGGAGGGGGCCAGTGCCTCTGAGAGCCCAACCACCCAAAAGCAGAGACATCTCTTCTGAACACGGCACACGGATGCCACTGGCAACTTCGACAAGTGGAGGAGACAGAGGGACAAATGGTGGGCACAGGAGTGAAGGCAGTGAGGGAAGATGATTTAAAAATTTTTTCTGTGAAGAACAGCAAATAAAGTTGATGAAAACTAGAACGCGACGTAGGACTTGCAATCTTTCTCTTGTCTTTTAAAATGCAGGCACTAAGGCCAAATGCGATGCCTGTAATCCCAGTGACTCCAGGAGGCTGAGGCAGGAGGACCGTGACACAGTGAGATCCTGTCTTTCAATAAAACAAACCCAAAACAAAAGAACCAAGACTCCAGAGGATGCAAATGTCAACCTGTCCTCCACCATTGGTACTGACTGGTCAGAAAGCCTATGGGAGCTTCAAGCTCTATTCTAAACAGTGCTACGTTCGGCAAAGGTGCCTGACCCTCTTTCTACTACTGCAGGGTCAGTCCTAGAGGGTTTCTGACAAGATTTTATCCAGAAAAATACAATAAAAGAGAAAAAAGTTTTTCATGGATTTAAGAAATATCAACCAGCAACTTAGTGGAAGCTCAATATCAAAAACAGAGGGAGGCCCAAAGGTGGTAGTGCATGCTGGATGCTGCTGCTCAGCAGGCTGAGGCCCTGTGAGAGGCCTGGGTTCGACTCCCAGACCCACCGGGGAGAGCTGCATGTGGTGGTGCACTCCTGTAGTCTCAGCTACTTGAAAGGCCGAGGCCCAAGGCAGCACGTGAGGCCCTGTCTGAAAGAGCTGGGCATGGTGCCACATACATGCGGTTCCAGCTGCTAGGGACACTGAGGCAGGGCAACTGTGACCTGACGAGACTGTCTAAAATGAATACCCCACACGCGCAAACACACACATAAAAACTACAACTGATGACTAGATTTAAAAACCACGAGCCCAGCTGCTGCAGCACAGCCATAATGCAAGTGCCCTGTAAGGCTGGTAGGCTCTGGGTTCAGATCCCTGGATCGACTTGAAAATCATGTATGCAGGCAAACAAGATCCTAAAAGCTGGGAGGTCGGGGAGGGGGTCACAACAATGTTGAGGCCCTGTTGAGGGTGCTTCTCTCTGGCATGTGCCATATGCAGATTTTAAAAATGCTATCACCTTAAAAATAACAAAATATGGCATGCCCATCCAATATTGTTCGGCAATACGAAAGATGAAGTACTGACACACATTACGACAGGAATGAACCTCGGCAACACCACATGAAGGGAAAGAAGCCAGTTACGAAAGATTGGACGTGATCTGATCCCCCATCTAAGAAATGTCCACAACTGGCAGGTCCACGTAGACTACCGGTGTCAGGGGTGAGGGGTGGGGGTGCTGAGTGTCTGCTGTTGAATAAGGGGATTCTTTTCAGGGTGGTGAAAATGTTTTCAAATTGATTGTCATGATACTTACACAACTCTGGGAATATACAATCCTCCCCCTTGAACTATATCCTTTAAAAGAGTGAATTTTGGGGGATGGTAAGTGGCGTGGTGGTTAAGGTGCTGGATTCCCATATAGCTGACCATGGTTCGAGTCCTGGACCTGGAGGCTTGCTTTCTCACTCTCCCACTCTCTCTCTCTCTCTCTCTGATCTCTTTCTCTGTGTCTCTCTCTAATCAAATTGAAGAATAATAAATGAATAAAATTAAATAAATAGTGGTATGAAAATTATGTCTCAATAGAATAGCTATTCTTTTAAAAGTGTAAGAAAAAGGAATTAATCCTTAGTACCAGTCCAACACCAAAAATTTAACATACCTATTCAGCCCATATTACTTTAAAGTCCAAGGCCGACCTCTTGAATCAGTCACCTAGTTAAGGCATATTCCTGGTTAGACACGCTCACCAAAGGCAGCACACCATCACTGCCATCACGCTGCTGTGAGGCCTGTGACTGTCTCCTACACCCATGCCCAGCACATCACCTGCTCCATAAACCTGCAGACCTGGACTTGCTTGAACTGTGTAGCTAACGCTCAGCCATGTCGACAACAAGCACTCTTACTGGTTCCAGACAAACGCATGGTGTTTGCATATCATGGAAGACCTTTTAGGAGCTCACACAGAATGACGAGAGAAAGCTCAGACACAGTAGGACATGGGAAGAAAGGAGAGCCAGGAGAAAGGCCAGAGAAACCAAAAGATCCACAAGAATGGTCTCACTGTTTGGAGTGAAACAAATGTTCATATCAGAAGACTCGGATTCAAACACAAAGCTAGTCACAAAGAGAGAGTGTTTAAAAACTATTTACCATTTAGCTTACCCATTACTGCTAGTCAAAGACTAAAGATCTGATTGGCAGTGTACTATACCAATGGTAAGTGATATCTGTGTAACCAGTATTGCACGTCAGCTGGCCTACCTAGAGATTCTTAGGGTACGAACTAGGAAAATCAACTCTGTGCTTCTCCCTGCACTAACGACCTTATCAATCCCAAACCACAGCCATTCATAAAATCCCGTATACGGCGAGTGTCTAAAAGATGTATTTCTGCCTTATAGCTACTTAATGTGAGAAAGACACATTCAAACAATATGCTGAGGTCCTAGGACAAAAGTGAAAGGAAATGTGACGACGGAAATGGCCTTTCTTTCTCCACCACTGGTAACCGTCCTGAGGGAAGCTGGCCCTCGTACCTCATCGCTGGTCCACCCGAAGCTGTCGGTGAGGTCTGTAGTGGTTGCAGCTTCCTGGTCTAAGAGCAGAAGCTGAGCAAACAAGCGCTGTAACTGCAAAGGTATGATTCGAACCTGCAAAGAGAGAAATGCATTTCCAAATTAACTCTTGGAAAAGAACTGTGTACTAGATTTCTCTCTCTTCTAGTTCATTCAGGAGAAAGTTTATAAAAATCTTATAGAGAGAACTAATTCAGAGTCTGTTCTCTGCACATTCTGTTCCAATCCAAAAGGTTCAATAGTTATCTGAAGTTGATGTACATAGGTATTAAAACTCACACGGGACCTAGTATTTTAAACTACCCAGTTAATCACAGACCGACACTGAATCTTCAATAGTTCACTCTTTCTCTAAAATAATTCTGCTACAGATGCATTTCCTCTGCAGGAATTTTCCCTGGCACACGTATCTCACCCTGTAGTTCTAACAAGGGGCTACTCGTATGCCACTTCACTTTCTGCTGGCTCCCAGCCCACTTCTGCCTTACTTGATGGGTGAGACCTGGGGTGGATTTAGCAATGCCATTTAGAGTCTGGTCTGCAGGTCAGACTTTGCAGGACTGGAAGGAGAATACGCACTTGGAAACTTTTATATCAATGTGACATTCCCATGCATTTTCATTACATACTGAAAAGTAGTGATTTGTAATGCACTGGGATTTAAAAAAAAATACATAAAAAATAGTCTTTGGCTACCCAGGTAATCTGAGCCACACTGGGCTGGTCATCAGACTCCTACTGAGAAGTACAGACTGGACCAAGAGGTGGTGGTGCCCAGGCAGTAATGCAGCACCCTGCAAGGGAGCCACATGGGAAGGCCCTGGTCCACATTCGGAGGTCGCCCTCGATTCATGGGGTGGCATACCCACAGTCCTGTCTGAGGTTGGGGTGGACTGCAGTGTGGAACCCCAGTGGGGTAGGCTGCCTCTGTCCCTCTCTCTCTTTCTCTGTCACTTTCTCTCAAATGGAAGAAATAAAATAAACTTAAAAAAGAAGAAAGAAGAGTTGGGTCTAAAAGTGATGAGAAATTTCTAAATGATTTTTAAGTAGAGAAGAACATGATTAGCTCTACCCTTAAAATTTCACCATAGAAACATGCAAAATAGGAAACCAATTCCTTATTCAATTTATTTCCAGAGTACCAAAGAGAAAGAATACAGATTCTAATTTTTTTATATTATTGCAAATAGGTGCACTAACTAGATCTTGTTGGTAGGCTAGGGTGGACAATTTTTAAGTATCTCCTTCACCAGAATCAACATAGAGAGTGAGATATGTTTGTAAATTAATACCAGGATTATATCTAGAAAAGTAATTATTGTTTTTGGAAGGAAAATTCTATTACTAATCAAGTATAGGTCAATTTACTTTCTGAAAATAAACACATCAAAAATTAATAAAATTACTGTTTCCTGTGCCTAAGGAACTTAATTCCTTCCTTTTAAGGCATTTCCTCAGTGCTCCAAGACACTCTGACAAACCATAGATTTGATACCTTTGCGTCGGGCTTATCCTTGTCCTCTAAAGAACCAAGCTCTTCCGGACCAAGAGAAAATAAAGCTTCTAAACAAAAAAGTAAAAGCAGAGATGTAAATGATAATATTTTCTTTTAGAAAATTGTTTGAGAAAGGCAAGACCACTATCAAATAAAATGGCTAACAATTCAGAAAGACGACTGCCAATATTGACACCCTTCCTTTACGCGTTTTACTTTCTTGTAACATGGTTAGCCACTGACTGGAGGACACAGTGGTGTGCTAGTTTCAGAACGGAAGCTCTATGAAGGGAAAATCGCCTTTAGTTTATGCACAGTAGAAACCTCTGCTGATCTCCCAGTCTGTGGTGACTGTCCACTGTCCACGATACGGTTCTCCTTTGTCACAGGAAGAACTTAGAGTAGTGTTGCCAGGGTACAATCTCATGTGACAGGTGAGGGACCACATTTTACTCTGAGAATGTGCCCTTCCTTTTTGGGGGTAGGGGTATGCAAATGTCTGTGTTGAGGGTAATAACAGATGATAGCGGCATTACTTGGAAAAAAAAGAAAGTAAGTGGGCAATCCTGGGCCTCTCTAGAGTTCCTTTACAGCCCAACCTGTAGGTATGTCACCAACAGTGCATATCTGAACTCCTTTAAGAAGTCTGTTATCTGGGGCTGGCAGGTGGTGTGGTGGTTAAGGGTGTTGGACTCCCACATGACCGACCACAGTTTGAGTCCTTGGACCTGGCAACTTGCTTTTTCACTTTCTCTCTCTTGTTCTGTCTCTCTCTGGTTAAATTAAAATAAATAAATAAAGTTAAAATAATTCTTTTTTAAAAAGTCTGTATCTAAGCCTAAGCAGAAATGCCTACTGGGAAACTGTGATGTACTCGAAGAGATAGGACGGGCTGGGTGTGACTCCTTACAGAAAACCATTGTTGCTTTAGTGACTGCCGTTACGAATAAAAATAAACTATGGGATCAACCAGGGCCATAGTGGTGAAGGTGGCTGGATCCTACATGGCTGACTACATGGTTCAAGTCTCAGACCTGGCAGCTTGTAAAAGACATGGGGTCGTGGGGGAAAGGAGGAGGAGAAAGCAGGAGGCATGGTGGTTAAGCGCGATAGACTCCCACATGGCTGACCACGGTTCATGTCCTGGACCTGGTGACTTGCTTTCTCGTCTTCTCTCCCTCCCCTTCTCTGGCCAAATTTAAATAAATAAAACTTAAAACAATTATAAATAAAAAAAAAAACACTGGGTGCATATGCATATGTGCACAAAATCCCAAGAGAATGGACAAGGGACTGCAGTGTGGCCATTCCCCATGAAGAGTGCTTTCTCTTTCCTTCTCTCTCAGGTGAGCACACATCCCCTATAGCAAACTAAAAAAACAAAGTACACACCTACAGATTAAAGCATAAAAACCACACAAGGATTTTTACAGATATTATTCTCAGCTACACTGAGTCTGAACAGGGTACGATGGAACCTGATCTAAACCTATGCCTTAAAATACTGTCCCAAATAGCTCCAGAATTGTCCTCCCCATGCATTCTCTGCCAGTTCTTACCCTTCCTAAATGACTTTTCCCTTTCACCCAGCACGCTGCACACCAAGATGTGAAACCCATACTTGGCCAGTCGCAAGAAGCTGCCTGGTGGTTCTCTCCATGGCCTGACCCACTCCCTCATTTTCTTCCTCGGTCTGGCTTTGAAGCCACTGATCTTCTTCAAGGTGCACTTTAATTATATTAAGATCGGGAAGTTTTAACCCTCTTAGGAATCTGCTTGTTTAAGGCACATGCGCTCGCCAGACAAACAGCAAGCGAGAAATCACCCCCCAGCAGGATTTCTTCACAGCAATCCCTTCTCCTCCATTCTCCTCTTGGGATCTTGGGCATGCACGCACACGCACCCGGCGTGAGTTTAAAGCACCAGGTCTGGGACTCGAACTGCCGTCAACTACATGGGAGTCCAGCGACATAACCATTACAACAACTGCTGGTCCTGCTGCTGAAAATGTCTAATGGTGGAATTACTGACTGCATCAGGGAAATATTTCTATGCAGGTGACGGAATCAAGGACAAAAAGCACTACTCTCAAATCCCACATGCAGACTAGTCCCTTAGAATGACTCTGAGAAAGGGACAAATATCTACTACACCTCTGGAGGTAGGAAGTCTTTTTTTTTTTTTTTTTTTTAAAGATGTGATGAATTTGGTGGTGTGGGAAGGGGAATGTGGCAAACCAGGTGGAGAATGAGTCAGGCTGTCTAGCCTCAGAATAAGGAGACTGTGGGGAGCTAAGCTAGAGTCACGTAACCCTAAGGGACACCATCAGAGCCATGTGAAGGCAAAGTAGAGACACTAAAATCCTAGGCAGAGCTGGTTTGCAGATGGGAATGGGATAAGCATGTGGAGAGAAACAGGGGCAAGAAATCAAGGGTCCACAGAGATCAAGCTGACATCCATAATAACTGATTTCTGAGTGTATCCATTATATTCTTAAACTCTTCCCACACCTTTTAAATTTGCTAGAGGGTGTGAGCACTTGTTAGAGAGACAGAGAAGAGAAAGCAGGAAAGCACTCCCTATGGGGAATGGTTATGCTGCAATCTCTTCTCTATGTTTCCTCTTGGGATTCTGGGCACACACTTACACATGCACCTGGTGTGTTTTTCATGCCACCTATCAGAGACCTGAATTATGTAGACCATGTGGGATCCAGTTGCCTTAACTGCAGTGCCATTGGCTGGCCCAAACTCCCTTTTTAATTTGAGTGGATTTCTATTCCTTGCCATCCCTTATCTAGAAGCCCTAGGTCTTTGCAAGCCAGCAGATGGTAGGGTGGTTAAGGTGCTGGATTCCACACAGCCAATACCATGGTTTGAGTCCTGGGCTCTATGGGTTAAAAACTCATGCTGTATATGTGTGCGTGCATGCCCGAAATCCAAAGAACAGAATGGAGAAGAAGGGATTATGGCATGGCCAACCCCCTGGGAGGTGATTTCTCACTTTCTCTCTGTTTCTTTCCAATGAGCACAATCAACCTATTGCAAAAACTTAAAACAAAAAAGAAAAGGTATATATGTTACGCTACATTCCCAGCAGGGTCTAGGACAGACAGTATCCATTAACCAAGCAGACTGCTATTCCTATAATGAATGTGTGAACATTTACACAAGTGAGATAATTAAAATATTATAAATCACCTCACACCAGGACAGGTCCTGAGACTATACAATTTCAAGTCAAATCAGACAGAGTCAGGCTTTTCTGGGTTTCAGATATGCAATGAATAATCGTGGATCCTTGTAAGCTACATAACATCCCTCTCCACTCTAAAAAGTCAGGATATAATAGTTTGTGTAATTGTGACTTAAGTGTTGGTTATTTTGGAGAAATTTTAAAACTCAAAAATACAAATAATGTAACAACATGAAGGTTGGAACTATAACAGAATTCTTTATGTTGTATTTTAAATGATAGGAATTAGAAATGTACTGTATTGCCTTATTTTTTTTTTGTTTAGTAAACATTAGTCATATAGAATATATTTAAGATAATTTAAGCTTCACATTTGTCTGCAAAGAGAATTACCAATTTATGCCTTATATTTGCAATAATAAACACATACTGTGGGATACAGCTTTCAGATTTATCTGTTTTTGATTTTGCATAAGTAATTATATATAAAGATGATGGCACTCATTACAAATCAAATGTATGTAGCATACCTCTGAATTCAGGTGTGAAATGAAGCGTCTGAAGAAGGGAATTGAGGTAACAGGTTCCACCCTGATTTCTGATTCCGCTTAAATTGGTGAATTCTCTAGGAGCAGGTGGCTCCAAACCATTAATCTTTAATCTCTCCCCTCTTCCATACTGATTATTTGACACACTGGAATAATCCTCTTCAAATAAGTCCCCAAACATTGTGCAACTAAAAATGACCCTTAAAAAAACATGACATGTTATATAAATGCTTTTTTATTTTTAAAATAAATTCCTCCCAAATCTCCTTACACTTGGGAATATCTATTTTTAAAAATGTTTCTTAGAAAGTATTATATTATAGTAGTTTGGGTTTGGAAGGTAGCAGAACCTACAAGGATCTTAATTACCTATGTGACCTTCAGCAAATTACTTAAGCTGTTTCTTACATGTAAAGTGGGAAGCCAGCTGTCCCCTAGGGTTATTTAAACAGTCCAAGGAGGACCTGAGAGATGGTCCAATCCTCAGCACCCCCATTAGTCTGAAATACGCAGCATTGCCCGAGTTCCCAAGCTCCAAAAGCGGGGTGGGAGGGGGGGGTGGGAGCACTGGGGTACACTAGAAGAGGATGGTGATGCAACCAGACGCTGTGGAGGCTGCTCCTATCTCCCCTTCCCACTTCTCCTTCTAGCGCTGGAACTCACTCTAACTTGAATAAAGAAAGAAAAAAGAATTTTAAAAGTTTTAAATAGTCAAATCACATACTAAAAGAGGGGCACTTAATAATAAATGACAGCTATAGGGCATATTTAAATAGCTAATGAAAAAAGAAAGAAAACTTATCACCACGCCCAAACCACTGCTGGGGTAGCAAAGCCAATCCCAGATGCGAGGGTTGACAGCAGCCTCGGGACCAACACCCACTCACTGAAATCTCTGCTTCTCGGGCCCCTCGGCACCTTGCACCACGTTATGACATTTAAATGAACTGAACTGTTCAAATCAATCTGCTTTATGGCAGTTCGGTTCGTTATCCAAAAGCTGGAGAGTTAGGAGGAAGTTCAATGGGGAAAAATCTCTGCGATTGAGAACGAGCCAAAAGGGCCATGTGTCGCTGACCCAAACTTTAACCCTGGGACCTAGGTGACCTGCTCGAGGTTTCACATCGAGTGTGGTGGAAGGTCACGTGGAGATGAGAAATGTAAAGCGTCTAGAAGTTTCTAAGTGGCAGGAAGGGCGGAAAATCAAGTATTTTCCCTTTCCACTCGGAAGAAAGGCACAAAAAGTGGAACTCGAAATCTGGCCCCGAGCTCGTCGCCTGGATTCGCGTCTTCCCCTTCCTCGGCTGAGGCCGTCCTCCAGCCCACCGGGCCACCACCACAGGCCAGAGGGGGGCCGCAGGAAGTCCCCGCGGCCGGAAACCGCGGCCCCGACGCCAGCACAGCGCCGCGACCCCGGCGGGCCTGGCTCCGCTCGCCTTGCCCTTCTCGGGCCGTGCCGCCAACACTGGCCCTAACTTTCCACGTCCCTCCCGGAATCCCCGCCGCCGGCCCCACTTACTGCCTAAAGCCCAGACCCCAGCCCCGGCCAGAACACGAAGCGAACAAACCCGCCCCAACTGGGCGCCGCCATGTTGGCGAGGGCGGGTCCCCGCAGAGCAATTTATGGGACGCGGACTACGCCTCCCAGGGTGCCCCGCGGGAGCGCCGGCCGCGCGCGGAGCCTTCTGGGCAATGTAGTTCCTGGTTGGAGAGGCTGGGAGCGGGCGTGCGGGGCTGCGCTGCCTACCCCGTGCGCTGGAGGGTTCTGTGTGCGCTCTGGCGCCGGCCGCTCGGTTCCTACGTTAACTTTCTGGTTATTGCTGTCCCCAGTCCGCACTGGCTGCGGAGGGGTACGCGGAGATTTCTGTCTGCTCGCAGGACCAATGCCTTAGCTTCCTAAATCCGGGAAACACTTGTGTAGGGCTTCAGACGTGCGGAGACTTTGAAGACCTTTCCAAGTGCATCTCCAGTACAGACCCTGTGACAAGTGTCTCACACTGTCCTGAGCCTTTTCCATCCCCTCAGTGTTTATTTTGTCTCCACCAGCTGTAAGTGGCGTAGTAAGAATGCACTAAAAACATCCGTTACCCCCCTTGCCCGCCTCAGCACCTCAGTGGGCTGTTTGAACCAGCCTAGGCTCTGCTGCTGTGTCTCTGTCCCATCCGGATTCCATCCAGGAACGAATGAAGGCACAGAAACACATTTGATTTCAGCTAAAGATATGAGAGGTCGAGAACAGGAACCGTGATAGATAAAGGCAGGAGCCAGTGCCAGCACTAGGGGTTCACATTGGAGGCATGAGGGGGACCCCTGTGGGGGTGAGTTCAGAAGTGCTGATGGGCAGAAAACTGGGGCCTGAGAGCCAGCTAGGGAAAGCACAGGAAGCGATGGTAGGGATGACCTGTCCTTGGTCCCCATTAGTCTTCGCTAGGCCACAGTGCTGCCCTCAGTGGCCTGGTCTTGGTGACTGTCCTCCCCAGTTCCATGACATTCTTTATTCTCTTTCTGCCCTTCCACTGCTTCTCTTTGGCCTGTTGTGCTCTATCTACTCCTTCCTAATGGCAGATATTCCCTGAGGATGGTGGCTACTGGGAGGTCAGTTCCACGGGAACACAGGCGTTCCCTGTTCACAGCTGTGGCCCTGGCAGCTTCAATAGTGCTTGGGTCATTACAGAATCTTTTTGTTTTTCTCTGTAGAATTCATGCACTAGCCAGATGCGTACAGAGACAGAAAGTGAGAAGGCACCCTCCAGAGGGGATTACCTCCCACAATGCCTTCTCCTCCATTCTCCTCTCAGGATTGTGTGTGTGCGCGCGCACACACACACACACACACACACACACCTGGTGTGTTTCTCAAGCTTTGGGATCTGGGACTCCAGCTGAGTAGTTAGCCATGTTGGATGTAGCTGCCCCTACCACCGCCCCACCTGCTGGCCCCGCATTACAGGATCTTAATAGATATTTACTGAATGCACAAATAGCCTCCTATCATCAGCATCCTTCCCCTCACCCAGGATCAGGATTCGGAGCTGTAGTTATACTGGAAATTTGCCTTTTGTCCATGAATCCAACTATAATCATTATACTCGAAGTTTGCTTGGGTAGTGCTGCTCCCATCTCCATGGCCTTCTCCTCTTCCGTCAGATCTTCATGCAGCCTTACCTGCACCGGATGGCAGCCTTCTAACACTCCCGTGTTATCCATCCCGTCCTGCACATCACTATGCCATCCACCCGAGGGGCACCCTGCGCTCAAGCTCCTCTACAGTGTCCTCTCCATTTTGATGGTCTTAGTCCACCCACGGTCTCAGCACACTCTTCCGGAATGTATTCTCACCTATCTTCCAGGGTGTTTCCAAGTGTGCCACGTGCCTTCCTGCTTTCGTGATTGCACCTGTGTTTTCCTCTCTGCAAAGGATGGCCATCCTCCCAGGTGCTCCCTTCGTTCCTATTCAGCATAAAAGCTGATCTCAAACTCTAACTCTTCAATAAATACTTTCCTGATGTTCCTTTCCTTCTTTTTCTTGAGAGGTTTTTGCTATAGGGTGTGTGCACTTGCCAGAAAGACAGAGACAGAGAGACAGAAAGCAAGAAATCACCCCCAGGGGGAATGGCTATGCCACAATCCCTTCTCCTCCATTCTCTTCTAGGGACCTTGGGCATGCACACACGCACACACACACACACACACACACACACACACACACACGGGGTGAGAGTATGAGTCCCGTGTTATCCATCCCGTCCTGCACATCACTATGCCATCCACCCGAGGGGCACCCTGCGCTCAAGCTCCTCTACAGTGTCCTCTCCATTTTGATGGTCTTAGTCCACCCACGGTCTCAGCACACTCTTCCGGAATGTATTCTCACCTATCTTCCAGGGTGTTTCCAAGTGTGCCACGTGCCTTCCTGCTTTCGTGATTGCACCTGTGTTTTCCTCTCTGCAAAGGATGGCCATCCTCCCAGGTGCTCCCTTCGTTCCTATTCAGCATAAAAGCTGATCTCAAACTCTAACTCTTCAATAAATACTTTCCTGATGTTCCTTTCCTTCTTTTTCTTGAGAGGTTTTTGCTATAGGGTGTGTGCACTTGCCAGAAAGACAGAGACAGAGAGACAGAAAGCAAGAAATCACCCCCAGGGGGAATGGCTATGCCACAATCCCTTCTCCTCCATTCTCTTCTAGGGACCTTGGGCATGCACACACGCGCGCACACACACACACACACACACACACACACACATCCGGTGTGAGTTTAAGCCACCGGGTCCAGGACTTGAACCACAGTTGACTACATGGGAGCCCAGCGACATAGCCATTATGCCAACTGCTGGTCCCAAGGACCTCTGCTCTTGAGAACTGATGGTGTCCTCCTCTCTAAAGCCAAGCAACTACTTGTGTGCCTGAAACTTTCTCTCCTTCCCTTCTTCCTTTCCACAAGGGTATTTTTAGCCCCTCCCACAGTCTGGCACTGGGGATATTAGGAAGAGTGAGGTGGAGATTTGGTCAACCCCTGCTTCCCACCCACCAATATGCTTCCCTCCTTCTTCCTCCTACCACCATTTTTATAGGCTGCCTATCCCCTGTCAACTCAAGGTAGCCACATGGCATAGTGCTAGCCAATGAGTAATAATGATAGTTAACGCTAGAGCTGAGTCAAAGCAGGGCCCTGTTTAAGTTAAGTGCGTCTCTACATACAGACTCATCTAATTAAATTGCCTTCAACGACTTTGTGAGGTAGGTGCTCTTAAAAGTAGAACTTGGGGACCAGCAGTTAGCATAATGGCTGTGTTGCTGGACTCCCATGTAGTCAACCGTGATTCGCATCCCGGACCCGGTGGCTTAAACTCACGCTGGGCACATGTGTGTGCGTGCCCAGGATCCTGAGAGGAGTATGAAGGAGAAGGGATTGCGGCGTGACCATCCCCCCTGGGTGGTGATTTCTCACTTTCTATCTCTGTCTCTCTCTCTCTCTGTCTGGCTAGCACACGCGCCCTATAGCAAAAACCTCTAAAAAAAAAAAAAGTAGAACTTGGGGGGCCAGCAGGTGGTGTGGTGGTTAAGGTGCTGGACTCCCACATGGCCAACCAGGGTTCAAGTCCTGGACCTGGTGGCTTACATACTCTCTCTCTCTCTCTGTTGAGCACACGTGCCCTGTAACAAACTTAAATATAATAAATAAATAAATAAATATTAATAAATATTAAAAAAAAGTAGAGCTCATTAGGTAGGACTTCTAGGAAACAATTTTAAAAGGAGACATTAGTTGTTTTGCCCTTTGCTGAATTTTTTTTTTCTTTTGGGGGAAGAGGGGTTGCCATAGGGCATGTGAACTCACCAGAGAGGAGAGACAGAGAGAGAACAGAGAGAGCAGAGAGAGGGAAAGTGGGAAATCGTTCCCCACAGGGCATGGCCATGCCACAATCCCTTGTTCTCCATACTCCTTTTGGGATCTTGGGCATGCACACATATGTGCCTGGCATGATTTTCAAGCCACTGGAATTGGGACTTGAACATGATTGGTCTTGTGGGAATCGAGCCACCTTAACTACCACAGCACCTGCTGGCCCCTACTGCAAATCCTTTTCCACCTGAGATGTAGACTTGATAGCTGGAGCCCTGGCAGCCATTGAGAATATGAGGATGCAGATGAAGCTATGAAGACCAAAGAGTCCTAGATTTCTATTGACATAGAACCACCCTGCCATCCCTGGAGTTTCTATGTTTTGACTACTGCAAGACAGAAAGTGTTTCTTCAGTGAAGCCATGGTTCGGTGGTAGTCTCTTTTGATGGTGTAGTCATAGATGAATATAGTTCCTAAGTGGGACACGAGCACTGCCCCTGAAAAGCTAAATGTAGGTAGGGAAAAGAGAAATATAAAAAATAAAAATACAGTGAGGTGAGCGTCAATAGTAGATTTTTCCTTACATGCATAACCTGTATATAAATTAAATAGCAAAATTCCAAGAAGGGGTCAGCCATGGTGATGCAGCAGTAACCCACACTCTCCCCTGTGTGAAGCCATGTGGGAGGGCCCTCGGTTTGTGTCCTGAAGTCTCCCTGTGGTCCCCAGATGTGCACCTGTGTGCTTGTGAGCTGGCCTGTTTTGAGACTAGCAGCTGGATGGCAATGTGAAGACTCTCCCCAGGGAGGTGATGATGTTTAGTGAAGGGCCTCCTTGGACTAAGGAGAAGAGACTCAGGAGGTAACATCAGGATAAAATTTTCTTATTAAAATTTAGAGCGACCAAGCCAAGAATCCATCAATGGGTGAATGGGCAAACATCATGTGGCATACACATACAGTGGAATATGACTGAGTCTTAGAAAATTCAAAACACCGGTACATGTTACAAAGTGGAGACAAAAAGACTAACACTGTATTCCACTTACACGAGGTACCTGGAATAGGCAGTCACAGAGATAAAAGTGAGAATGATGGTTTGCAGGGATGTGGGGGAGAGGAGAATGGGGAGTTCTTATTGTTGAGGACAGATTTCTATCTTCCTATGCTATGGTGCTTCTCGAGGGTCCTGGGAGAGTCATGTCTACAAACATGAATCTTGCTGTAACAGATGGTTTTGCTCTTGAGATTGTGGGCAGCTCCTCACTTCTGACCCTGCATAGCATCACCAGATACATAGCAAGGCCTTATTATCGATTAGGTTGTCGGGAAAGTCATGACATATTTTCCTAGTTTTTTCTATGCAAAAATGCATCATTGGGGCCACCAGAGTGGTGTAATGGTTACATCACTCAATTCCCACATGGCTGACCATAGTTCAAATTCTGGACCTGGCAGCTTAAATCTCACGCTGGGCATGTGTGCATGCGTGCCCAAAATCCTGAGAGGAGAATGGAGGGGAAAGGATTGCAGTGTGGTCTTTGTTTTTGTCTCTCTGTCTCTCTCTGTCCAGTGAGCACACGTGCTCTATAACGAAAATCTCTCAAAAACAAACAACAACAAAAATGCATCATGACTTTCCTGACAGCCCAGTATATTCAGGTTAAATTCAGTCTTTTCTACTGACTCCAAGTCTCTTTGAGACAGACTTGTGTGTCTAATCAATTACCAAACTAATAATTTTTAAGAGGTTTTTGCCGTAAGGTGAGTATGCTCTCTGGAGAAAGAGTGAGAGTCAGAGACACTGACAGGGAAAGTGAGAAATCACACCCTGGGGGAATGGCTATGCTCTAATCCCTTTTCCTCCATTCTCCTAGGACTTGGGCACACATGTTCACACACCTGGCCTGATTCTCAGGCCACTTGGTCAGGGAGGACAAAACTGCTACTCCATCTGCTCAACTCATTAACCTAAGAATATCTAAACCCACCAATAGCCTACAAACCTCCACTTCCAGATATTTTGCCTTTTTGGGCCAGGACAAAAAAGAGATTCATAATTTTGTCTGTGTCTCCTCCTCTCAGAAGTATTGCATCGGAGCACCCCCAAAATGCTTATGCTTTCCTGTCACTCATATTTGTGCTTAAAATAAATCATTTTAAGTATTATATTTACAGAACTAGCTATTTCCATTGACATTATAATGAGGACAGAGTTTCAGTTTGGAAAAGGAAGTGATAATGGCTTCACATTGAGAAGGTGAATATACTTACTGTCACTGAACTGCACCGTTAAAACTGGTTAAAATGGGGACCAGCAGTTAGCGTAATGGCTATGTCACTGGACTCCTAAGTAACTGACCATGGTTCGAGTCCCGGACATGGTGGCTTAAACTCACGCTGGGCGCGTGTGTGTACGTGCCCAAGATCCCGAGAGGAGAATGGAGGAGAAGGGATTGCGGCGTGATCATCCCCCCTGGGGGGTGATTTCTCGCTTTCTGTCTCTCTGTCTCTCTCTGTCTTTCTGGCAAGTGCATGTGCCCTATAGCAAAAACCTCTCCCCACCACAAAAAACATGTTAAAATGATAAATTTGGGGTTCAGCCCTGTGGTCTAATGGTTAAGAGAGTTGAATCTACATGGCAGAATGCATGCTTCAAGTTCTGAACCTGGCCGACTCGTCAGATCTGTTGAAAAACATGTGAACATATGTGGGTGTGACCAACACTTCAGCAGGGTGGAGAAATGGAGGTGGGGGAATTGCAATGTGGCCATGCCCTCCTGGGGAGTGCTTTCTGCTTGTCTCTCCTCTGCCTGTCTTTCTCTGTCAAGCACAGATGCCTTCTGGCAAATTAAAAATATGGTCATTTTATGTTTTGTATATTATACCATGAAAAGATTCTTTTCAAAATTCAGAGCAACCTATCAAATCTCACTGCAGCATTCCTGGAGCTTAACTGGCCGCACAGGCATTCACGTAAGGTAAATCTGCTGAGGCAAAAATAGATTGGTACAGGATTTCAACTAGTGAATGGATGAAAAAAGAGCTAAAGCAAAAGAAAGCAAGCAGGGAAAAACCTCTATGTTAAAAACAGGACAGCGGGACCAGCAGTTGGCATAATGGCTATGTCGCTGGACTCCCACATAGTCAACTGTGGTTAGAATCCCGGACCCGGTGGCTTAAACTCACGCTGGGTGTGTGTGCGTGCGTGCCCAAGATCCTGGGAGGAGAATGGAGGAGAGGGGATTGCAGCGTGGCCATTCCCTCTGAGGAGTGATTTCTCGCTTTCTGTTTTTCTGGTGAGCGTATGCGCCCTACAGAAAAAATTTTTCCAAAGGAAAAAAAAAAGAAAAAACAAACAACGACAAAAAAAACAGGACAGTTACTGATGTGAAAGCTTTCAGTGCCAAAAGGAGACCACTCTGTCGAACAGTAACAAAATGGTGCCAGGGGGTCACGCAGGGAAGGTCCTCCACACGTTTGCCTGAGTATCACAGGAGACTGCCCAAACCACACCCTGGTACAAAGATCACTTCTACACACAAGCACGCCAGCCTAGTAGCTACCCACTCCACTGATGGATGGCCTCCCGTGTTTTTCTTAATCTTGTAGCCAAGAATTGTTTTTTTTTTTAAGAGAGATTTTTGTTATAGGGCTCATGTGCTTGCCAGAGAGACAGAGACATAGAGATAAAAAGCAAGAAATCACCCCCTGGGGAGAAGGCCACGCTGCAATCCTTTCTCTTCTGTTCTCCTCTTGGGATTTTTGGGCATGTGTGCACACATATCTGACATGAATTTTTAAGTCGCCGGGTTGGGGACTCGAACTGTGGTCAACTACATGGGAGTCCAGTGACATAACCATTATGTCACCTGCTGGTACCCCCAAGAGTAATTGTTTAAAACACCTATACCTTTCTTGTGGGTGCCCTTGCTCTCCCTCACCTGCATCCCTGTGCTCTGCTTGAAGACTCACTTTGCAGTCCATAAGCTGCAGTGTCAGAGGCCAAGACCACACAGATCATTCATGGCTCCCGCGGGCCTCCAACAAACACCTCCCTGTGCGTTTGCTTCTCTGACAGGCTGACTTACACAGTTCGGATGCTGGGACTTGGGGAAAGTTGTGCTTTGTACACTTTCTGACTTTTTGAGTGTCAGCAGGCAGAAGAGGCAGGAGTGAGGGGAGAAGCTAGCCCTTGACCTTTGTTGAAGTTTCTGCAAGAAAGCAAGGCAGGGCCAACCTGTGGCAGAGGGGTTAGGGTGACTGGGTCTCACACGGCTAACTGTGCTGTTCAAGTCTCAGACCTGGGAGCCTGAGAAACACACCAGGCACATCTGTGCCTGTCCCAAAATCCTGAGGGGAGAGTGGAGGAGAAGGAATTGCAGCTTGACCATCCTCCCGGGGTGTGCTTTCTCACTTTCTCTTTCTCCTCGTTCTCTGGCAAGCACACATGCTCTATAGCAAAAAATGAAAAAAAAGAAGGAAAGAAAGAAAGAGAGGGAGGGAGGAAGGAAGTAAAGAAGGAAGGAAGAGAAGAAAAGCAGGGCAGGGAAGGCAAACCGCTTAGAACAAACAAGTTACAGCGGGCTCTCAGCCAGCCCTTCACTGCTTCTACCGATTGGCTGGCCTGAGGAAGGCAGTCTCTCTTCAACTAGAAAGGCTTTTTAATTTTTAATTTTTAAATTTTTTGAAGATATGGAAGCATCACAATACACAGAAAATTAAAATGAAAACAATACAGGAAGTGTGCTTTCTTTTTTCGTGGATAAACGCCCAGAAACGGCATAGCTGGGTTACATGGTGAGTGCATGCCGTAAGCGCAGAGAGAAACAGCTCTGTAGGCGTGGGGCCGGTGCCTCTTCCCCGTGTGTGACATCTCCAGCGATTTCAAACGGACGGCAGGCCCACTGCCAGACCACTCTGCACGTGTCTGGTCTGGACTGATGTCCTAAAGTAAATGACAGAACCCTGGGTGCCACTGCAGCCTGCCAGGACCCTACTGAGAGTACCTACCTCACTCTCTCATGAAAGAAAATATTTAAATAAGCATCAAAAATGAAATAAACTAAGATAGAAGATAGTCGCCTTCTCTCCTTCCTGGGGTGCTCCACAGAGGTGAGGCTGTCATCATCGTATTCCAGTCCTCTGGCTGGAGGATTTGGAAACGGAACGAACTCCCTGCTGTATGTGGAGACCAGCAACACACACACACTTGCGAGCAACTCCCCTGCAAGCCTGGAGGTCGGCAGGAAGGGCCTTCCCAGCTTTCCTTAAAACCTGCCTTGAAGGCTGCTGGTGGTGCCAATGGACAGGAGCCACTGGTTCACCATGCACTCAGTTGTGGAGAAGCTCCTCGACAAAGGGCATGAGTTGGTCCTCGTTAAACCAGAAGTGAGTTGGCAGCTGGAAAAATCATTGAATTTTACCGTGGAGACTTACTCAACCTCTTACCACTCCCTTTCTGGGCAAAGAGCCTTTGGTAGTCTTGAGGATAAAAATCGCAATTTGCTTTGGACACTTTCCAAAAACACACGCTTCATTCCAATGTGCTTTCCTTTTCACTTTTCTGATTCCTCGAGGTCCAAAGACATTGCTCAATGGTTCTGTCTCTAGGCTCACACTGCGTGATTTGGCTAGCAAAGCTGCACTTGTCTGGAAACTTCAGCAGGTATCTCAGGAAGAGCTCCTCATTCATTATCATCTTATGAGTAAATCATTGACATCCAGTGTCATTTTTTTTTATCAATATATAAGTACACGCCCTCTCCTGGGGCAGGTTTGTGCCTGCGCTGCTTCTGCCCTCCGCACGACACGACAGCACCTCACATCCCTCTGTACACTGCACTCCGGTGGCTCCTGCAGGCATGAGCGGTCCCTTTCCTCTGTGTGTGTGTCTGCTGCTGGCGTCTGGCTTCGCCCAGGCAGGCAGGCTGCTGGTGGTGCCGATGGACGGGAGCCACTGGTTCACCATGCGCTCGGTTGTGGAGAAGCTCCTTGACAAGGGGCATGAGTTGGTCCTCGTCAAGCCAGACGTGAGTTGGCAGCTGGGAAAATCATTGAATTTTACCGTGAAGACTTACTCCACCTCTTACACCCTGGAGGACTTGGACCGGGAGTTCGGGAATTTCATTAATAATCAATGGAAAACGCGGGAACAGAGTTTTCTTTTTATGTTAATGAGTTCGTCCCATGGTTTTTTTGAGTTATTATTTTCACATTGTAAGAGTTTGTTTAATGACCAAAAGTTAGTGGACTACTTAAAAGAGAGCTCTTTTGATGCAGTGTTTCTGGATCCTTTTGATATGTGTGGCTTAATCATTGCCAAGTACCTGTCGCTCCCATCTGTGGTCTTCACCAGGGGAATACCCTGCTACTTTCTGGAAGAAGGTGCACAGTGCCCCGCTCCTCTGTCTTACGTCCCCAGGTTTCTCCTGGGATTTTCAGACACCATGACTTTCAAGGAGAGAGTGCAGAATCATCTCTTCTACTTGGAGGAGCGTGTATTTTGCTCGTATTTTTTCAACACTGCCACAGAAGTGGCCTCTGAGATTCTCCAGACACCTGTCACGGTGTATGACCTCTACAGCCAAACCTCAATTTGGCTGTTCCGGAGTGACTTCGTTATGGACTATCCCAGACCGGTGATGCCAAACATGGTCTTCATCGGCGGCATCAACTGCAATGAGGCCAAACCAGTGTCCCAGGTAAGTCACCCTCCCTAGCACCTCGGCAATAGTCTGGCTTTGGCAGGGAAAAGAAAGAATCTTTACTGGTCAGCGATTTGTCACCTTTGGGCTTTCTCTTCAGTTTAATGGATTATTTTCTTCCTTCCTTCCTTCCTTCCTTCCTTCCTTCCTTCCTTCCTTCCTTTTTCCTTCTTCCTTTCTTTCTTCTTTCTTTCTTTCTTTCTTTCTTTCTTTCTTTCTTTCTTTCTTTCTTTCTTTCTTTCTCTTTTTCTTTCTTTCCTCCTTTCTTTCCTTCTGTCCTTGGAATTACCTTTTCCTTTTTTAGTCTTTTTATAATTGTTAGGATTATTTTATTTAACTTAATCTATCTATCTATTTATTTATTTATTTATTTATTTATTTATTTATTTATTTTAATTTGACCAGAGAGGGAGAGCAAGAGAAAGTGAGAAAGCACGCCGTCAGATCTGGGACTTGAACCATGGCCAGCCATGTGAAGTCCAGTGCCCTTAACCATCATAGCACCTGCCTGCCCCAGTTCAATGGATTGTTTTGTGCCACTTCATCTAAGCATGAGTTAGCAAATATATAAAGCTGCCTTTGTTTTTTTTTTTTTTTTTTTTGTTTGTTTTAAGAGTTTTTGTTTTTTACTATAGGGTGCGTGCACTTGCCAGAAAGACAAGAGAGAGACAGAGAGACAGAAAGTGAGAAATCACTCCCCAGGAGATGGCCACGCCGCAATCCCTTCTCCTCCATTCTTCTCTCGGGATATTGGGTATGCACGCACATGCGCCCGGTGTGAGTTTAAGCCATTGGGTCCGGGACTTGAACCGCAGTTAACTACATGGGAGTCCAGCGACATAGCCATTACGCTAACTGCTGGTCCCAAGCTGCCTTTGATTCCCCTCCTTCTCCCACTCTCTTCACACACTGTATCTGGAATCTATAGCCGTTTTCTATGTTTCTGTATCCTCTAGTCTTTCAGTTTCAACCACAGAGTGTGGACAGTTGGTATATTTTAAGTGGAGACATACAGTGTCTCCCCTTCATAGTTTGGCTTGTTTCACTCAACAGTAAATCATCCATATTCATCCACTTTCTGTCAAAAACCAGGAACTTGTTTTTTTTAATGGCTAGGTAGTATTCCATAGAGTATATGTGCCACACTTTTTCAATCCACTCCTCTGTTCATAGACATTTGGGTTGGTTCCGTGTCTTAGCAGTTGTGGGTAACATTGCAATAAACATAGAATCTGGTACTACCCCTGTTGGATAATGCCCTGGGCAGTGTTGTATGCATCTTTTCCAATCTTTTGAAATTATTTGACATATATGCATGTATCTAATGTCAATTCTCCCATCTATTGTATTTTCCTAAAACAAAATCTAGTATCAGGCTGGACATACTCTTCTTTGCCTTGTATTTTTCACTTTCCAATAAATCATAGACATCTTCACTGGCCAGTACATACAGATTTGACAGTCTTTGCATAACTGCTTAAAACTCTTTCATTGGGTGCTCTGTAGTTTTTCAAAACCAAGCAGTATTGATAGATTCCACCTTTTGCTTTTATCAAGACTGTAGTAAACATTCTTAAGTACTTCCTTTACAGTCATATATTCCATATTCTTGCCCTAGGCTAGAGTCCTCAGAGTAAGGTTGCTGGGTCAAATGCTACACACATATTGCATTATAATAAATATGACAAATTGCTTTCAAGAAACTGAACCATCTCACACTTTTGGTCAACAGTATGTGAGAATTTTAGTTTTTCTATACCCTCTCCAGTTTCAGATGTTGTCAGACTCTTAGATTTTTGGTAATTTTCTGGGTAAAAATAAAATATCTGGGGGCCAACAGGTGGTGTGGTGGTTAAGGCACTGGATTCCCACATGGCTGATGGCAGTTTGAGTCCTGGACTTGGTGGCTTGAAAATCACACTGGGTGCTGGTATATGCCCCAAATCCCAGGAGGAGAATGAGGAGAAGGGATTGGTGCAGCCATTCCTCCTGAGAGCTGATTTCTCACTTTCCCTCTCTTTGTCTGTCTCGGTGAGCACATGAGCCCTATGCCAAAAAACCGAAAATAAACAAATATATAAAATTCTGTAAAAATGCTTCAGCTTTCACTTCTATTTGCATAGATACACTAGCTATTTGCATTTCCTCTTTGTGAATGACTTATTCACATTCTTCAATCTGTTTTACATAAGGCTATTTTGTGACTAATTGCTATAAGCCTCTTGGATATTAGAAAAATTAGCACTTAGATTTTTTTTCATATGCTGCAAATAGCCTTCCTCCTTTTTTTGACCAAGGGGTACATGCACTTACCACAGGCAGAAAGAGGGGAGAAAGCACTCCCCATGGGGTGTGGTCGCACTCCCATCCTTTATGCTCCATTTCGGAGTCCTCGCAGGTTGAGCACATGCAGGCACACACGCCTGGTGAGTTTTTCAAGCTGCCAAGGTGGGAATCGAACTAGGATCTGACCCATAGTGCACAGTGCTTAGCCGTGTACTACAAGTGATCACCACAGGCAGGAAGAGGGGAGAAAGCACTCCCCATGGGGTGTGGTCGCACTCCCATCCTTTATGCTCCATTTCGGAGTCCTCGCAGGTTGAGCACATGCAGGCACACACGCCTGGTGAGTTTTTCAAGCTGCCAAGGTGGGAATCGAACTAGGATCTGACCCATAGTGCACAGTGCTTAGCCGTGTACTACAAGTGATTTTTCCCATGGCAGTTCTTCATCTTTGGTCATACAGAATTTTCATTTTTAGGCAGTCAAATTGGTCAGCTTTTTCTTTAACATGTTATTAATTTCAACTTGTTTGGGCCTTTCTAAGACTGAGACACAGTGTATAAGTGTTTGTCTCCATATTTTGCTTTAATGTCTTTAATTTCTCCAATGTTGATAGCCCTTTCTTTTTACAATGAGAACTTTAATCTATACGGTGTAAGAATCTTTTTTCTCCTAATTGAACAATCTGTTGTCCCAATATCATCTAATAAAAATGTATTTCCTCACCCATTATATTGAAATGCATCTTTATTATATTTTAAGTTTCTATATTTATTTGTATCTATTTCTGAACTCTAAGTTTGGTCCCACTAATTTATCTATTCATGTATCATATTTTGATTATAGTTGCTATATGGTAATTTCTTTTAGAGAGAGATTTTATAGGGTGTGTGTTCTTGCTGGAGAGACAGAGACAGAGAGACAGAAAGCAAGAAATCACCCCCAGGAGGGATGGTCACACCACAAACCCTTCTCCTCCGTTCTCCTCTTGGGCTTTTGGGCACACACACACATGAGTTTTAAGCCACCAGGTCCGAGACTTGAACCACAGTTGACTATGTGGGAGTCCAGCAACCTAACCATTATGCCATCTGCTGGCCCTACTTTGTGATAAATTTTAATGTAAGGTAAAGCTAACCCCATACTCTTTTCTTTTTCCAGATTTTCTTGGTGATTCTCATAATTTATTCTTAATTTAAAATTTTATCTAGTTCCAAAACATAAAAACAAACCATGAGGCTTTGTTCATATTATACACTAAATGTTGTTTTAATTTCAGAAAGATTGGCATCTTTTGTTATTAAGTTTTCTATTCAGAAATATGTATATTTCTTTTTAGTTATTCAGATCTTATTTTATGTCCATCAATAAAAGTGTACACCTTGGGAACCAGCAGTTAGCGTAATGGCTATGTCGCTGGACTCCTAAGTAACTGACCATGGTTCGAGTCCCGGACCCGGTGGCTTAAAATTCACGCCGGGCGCGTGTGCGTGCATGCCCAAGATCCCGAGAGGAGAATGGAGGAGAAGGGATTGCAGCGTGACCATCCCCCCTGGGGGGTGATTTCTCGCTTTCTGTCTCTATGTCTCTGTCTGTCTGTCTGGCGAGCGCACGCGCCCTACAGTGAAAATCTCTCCAAAAAAAAAAAAAGTGTACACCTTATATAAGCATTTTATATTAACTATGAAAATTTATTCCTAGGCATTTTACTTTATTTATTTTTATTTTATTTTATTTTTTTGGAGAAGTTTTTGCTGTAGGCATGTGCACTTGCCAGAAAGACAGAGAGAGACAGAGTGACAGAAAGCGAGAAATCATCCCCCCAGGGAGGATGGCCACACCGCAATCCCTTCTCCTCCATTCTCCTCCATTCTGCGGTTGGCTACATGGGAGTCCAGCGACATAGCTATTACGCTAACTGCTGGTTCAGGCATTTTATTATTTTGAAACTACTGTGCACAGGGCAATTTTTCCATTTCTATCTTTAACATGCTATTAGTAATTAAAGTACAGCTTTGGTTTTTGCAAGTTTATTTTGTATCCAGCCATCTTACTGATTTCTTTTATTAGTTTGTGAGACTTGTTAAGTACACAATATTATTATCTGCAGATAATGCCCTCCCCTGATAGTTATACCCTACTTATGCTATATTGATGCGTGTATCTCCAAAACATTATTGAATAATATTGTTGGTCTAGTCAATTTAAATTGGGGTTCAGTCACGTCTAATTGAAAAAGTCTTGATGAATACAAGAGTAAGATTCTGGACAAATGCATAGCTGCTTAATTTGGACTAAATATCTGGTGTCTACCTCATAGATTGTCATTGAGAATGGACCACGCATTGTAATGTATTATTCTCCTCCTTACAAGGTTTAGGAGGCTTCATAAGAGAGCCCTATTCTCTCGGATATTGTCAGATGCTTGCTAAAGAGCGACTTTTCCATCCAACTTATGGGAAAGTGAAATAATGCTCTTTTTAAAAAGTGGTGAGATTACAATTTTAAACCAGTCCAAATTAGACATTAAGCTTTCTGCTCTTAGCAAGACCAGGCAAGAAGATTCAAGCTTTCAGACTCAAAGAGGCTCAGCCTGGTCAAAGGGCTCCTCTCTCCTTTTAGAATATATCAATTATAGCGTCAAGCACCACCCAGGCGTCACCTGTAACCTCACCCTCTAGCCATGGGTGGAGCCGTGTAATGTTCTAAACTGTGTTTCATTGGGTCACGCA